AAATTGGATGCACCCGGCTGCAGCTAGCAAAACAGAGGCGTTTATGGAGGACACACGCGCTTTGTTTTACTTTTTAAAACTCATTAGACTCATTTCCAAATGGAGGATTACATATCTACGCTCAAACTATTATCTGGACTTAAACATGGAACTGGTCTGAACTGAAGTGGACTGTGCAGGTCATTTATAAGGTAAGACCCATAACTCATAATTTTGCGTTTTGTATGAACAAACAATGCGGGCATGAAACATTTTGCTGTAGCCAAACAAATTGTCCACTTGATTTATATGATATATATGTTCATCTGATTGGGCTGAAGTCAGTGCTTCACCGGTGTTTCCACATTCACAGTGGCGGGTGTTTGTGTTTAGTGCTTACAGCACAGAGAGAGATGGAGAGTGAACAGGACTTCAGCAGCAAAGCAGCCTTTTCTAGATGGAAATATTGGCACTATTTCAGACTCACTGAGGTTAAAGGTAAAAATGTGCACGTCGAGAGCACATTATGTTCCAGAACAAAACGAAAAAGTAACGCAATAGTTACTTTTACTGGTAACTAGTTACTTTTATAGTGGAGTAACTCCGTTAGTAACTCAGTTACTTTTTGGGACAAGTAACTAGTAACTATAACTAATTACTTTTTCAAAGTAACGTGCCCAACACTGATTATAAGTTATGGGTGTTTGGGATCAAAAGGAATTACATCTGTTTGCACTGATTTCACTTATCATACTCCATTTATAATTTACCAAAATGTCTTCCAATAACTTTATATTTTGTTGCTGAATGCTCTGTATTGTTTTTAAACTGGGCGTTGCAAACTGAAATTCCCCACTATAGGACAAGTTATCTTTTTTTGGTGATGGTTCTGTCCTTGATTCTTGTCTTCAGTTTGAGTTTATGGATATTAGTTAAGAATAGGCAGGTCATAAAAGGCAGGTACCTTATTTTAATATCACTGAAATAACAATGTAATAAAAACCATCAAACTTTGTCCTGGCGCTGAAACACTTTGGTTCTATCAATTGCCCTCTGTCACATTTTTAGATCAGCTGTTTGAGACAGAATGTGAAAAAGACAGGACGGCCCTCACTCAGGTCTCAGCCTCAAATAGTTACTCACATGGCTCTTTCAGGAAAGCAAAAACAGAAAATGTATTCTGATATTATGAAAGCATCTTGCTGTCTGAACACAAACCACATGTATTATTTATGTTTGGTAGCTTTAAAGGCAGTGCGTGTGTGTTTTGGAGCAGTGGGAACATTGATAAAGTTGTTGTAAAATCGAAAGAGGTGTCGCAGGTTTGCATTTGAACAGCCCTTCGGTGCTGAACTTAAGGTCTGTGCTTTCCGGAGGGCAGAACAGAGCAGCTGACAGAGTCTCAGCTGTGATGGTCGCGGGGAGAGGACAAAGACAAGCTTGTGTGACTGTGATAAGAGCTCCTCACCTGCAGGGCTTTGCATGAGCACACTGGCCCCACACTACTGCTGCCACGGAGCAGCAATCTTAATCAATTTCATATTTTGTAAAAGCCGCTAAGGCATTCATCACACCTCGCTTAGTATATAGATATAGTAAATAGTGATCATGTGACCTGAATCACGCCAGAAATGTAGTTTATGAGTTAATCCCCAAGGCATTTTCTCCTTCACCTTTATTCAACCAATATCCCACAGAGACTCAGAATTGCCCTTTTTGGTGAGAATTTTCATTTTTTTAAACAATCATACGCGGATGATTTGGCAGCGTTGTGCAATGATTTTTGCTCAAGTGGTGGGAAAAATTCTGCTGGTCGCTAACTTTATCTGTCTGGATCTTGATGTGTCCAAGTTTCTGCTAATGTTGTGTAAAGGGGAAGAGCACAAATCCATCTGCCAAGTCTCATAATGGAAGTGGACGGACTCATTTCTTTTATTATATTGATTAAGATCAACAATGAGGCCTCACTCAATTTCTAATAATGAGCCACCGGTGTCATTACTAGAAGACAGAAGTACAGTGATGTTTACTTCTGTTACACTTGATCGAAATGTAAACATAAAGATTTGTTTCTGTAAAACATTAATTACTTTTTCTAATAATGAAAGATATGTAAATAGAATCAGATAATGGCACAATGTTTGCATTTTTTAAGGCGTTGGCTACCGACGCCTTGAAACCATATTTGTTTTTTCCTAAAGTAGTTATTAACAAAACCATGTCTACACATTGCCAAGTAAAGCTGGGTACATCACTTTTTCCTCATAAATAATACATGTTGTTTTTACCAACAGAACAGAAAGGCGTGATATGAATTAAGATTAATGAATTACTGTAGTGGCTCATTTAGGATACGTTACTTAACAAGTCTACGAAGTAAAATGCTGTAAACAAGTTCTTCATCTTACGAGAAAACATTGTATCTTTTGCATTCTTGTTAGAAAGAGCCCTGTGAGTCCATTTTTGGCAATTTGAGGTGATGGCTGAGGGTGGTCGTCTCTTTTTCACTTTTCTGTCTGAAAAACTAATATAAAGATGTGACTGAGGCCAACAATCCATGCACAAGAAAACTTACTACATAGTTACCTTTTCGGTTGTTTCATTCAAGATAATCAGTATTGGCATCAACCATGAAAGAAACACCATGTTTGTCCATATTTTCTTCACACACTGCTCTGTACTGAACTGAGAGCAGCAGCTATAATCAAAACAACATGTGCAGTAAGTGTATGAGAGCAGGTTCTGGCAGCTGGCTCGAGGTCACGGAGCATGGCGCGCTGAGTCAGTGCAGCGGGACGTCCAGCGGGAGACAGCGCGGTGTCTGCGGAGGCCGATCGATCCGCTCCTCAGGTGAACGGAGGAGCTGACACAGGGGGTTTCAGAGAGAGGCCCCCGGTGTAGTGCTGCGCTCCCAGTCATTTATCACAGTGTTGTATCTGCCCCTCCCTCTGGCGCTGTGCTGACGTGAGCGCTGCAGGTGTGACTCCTGAGGCACACAGATATGTCCAGATTTCCACATAATACTTGATGAGTTGATACAAAATACAAAACAGTGCAATCTTCAGAGCTGGGGATCTTAACTTTCAAACTGTCAAACATGCAGCCACAGTATGTAATGAAATCCATGTAACTGCTTCCACCGCCACTAGTTTTCACATTCATGCGCCTTTAGATCAGATTTCTCAGACAGAAAAGGGACAAAGATTTGACTAGCCTCCCTCAGCCAAGCAGATCTCTGCCCAATAAGTCAAATAGTGACTCACCAGGTTCTTTGTTACAAGTATGCAAAAAAGAGCTTGTTATATAATAATATGAAGGCTCCATGTTGTGGTATTTTTACTTTTACAAAACTCTTTCTGTTGGACAAACAACAATGTGTTATTTATTAGACAAAAAGTTAGGTAACTCAGCTTTAAGTCACACACACTATTATATGAGGTCTATAGTTTTGCAGCAGATCAAACCAACATTGTGTAGTTCTCAGCCCAAAGTGTCAAATCGTGACTCACAGGGAAAGTTTGTAAAAGAGAGAATGGTTTTCTAATAAAATAAGATGACGTCTACAAAAATGATTTCATGTTTTTGATTTAAAGTTAGGTGCCCCAGCTTTTTTTTTGTAAGTAATTGTTTTACCTTGAATGTTTGACAAAATGACAATCTCCATGGAAGCCTCAAATCAAAACACAAACCATTTTCATATTCATTCTCTGTTTAAAGGTTGGAGCTCAGAGTCCACAGCTGTGCTCTTCAGCATGTGGTCCACAGCAGACAACGTTTATATGGAGGGATGGGAAGGAAATAAATATACCTTTACAGAATAATGCACCTGATCCAAGGTTTTACTAGTGTGTGTATGTGTGCGTGTGTGGGTGGGACGTTTCCAGATTTTATTTCGTAAGAAAGTCTGATCAAAAAGAGCCTGATACGTCCTCTATTTTCTTCCATTGTGATACTGCATTTGTATTACTCATCTTAGTTAGTATCAACACTAGACAATTATATCGAGTACCTTTTGCATGTTTGCTTCACTCAGGTATTACAAAAAACTGGTTCCAATTCTCTGCATCCAAAAATCTGTCTTCAATTGTCTTAAGATGCATCTGATGTCCGTGCAATGTTTACTTTGGATTTAGTTGGAATTGTACGTGCTAACTTGTATGTTTTTCTTATGGGAAATTACTTGTGTTGCTCTCACTGTTTCATTGGAAAAACATTCACGAAACAGTGTGTTTTGTGAAGCTTCTCTCATCTACTCCGTGTCCTACTGATTGACGTCACGCCTGGCCAGGGGTTGAGTCCAAAATAGCTCTCGCGGCTAAGTTAGGAAGCTCATCGCATACTGGAGGAATGTTTAAAACAACAAACATCATAGCTGGCAGTAATCTCCTTTTTCTTCACATGTTTAAGGATAGATGGAACACTATCAAGTCAGCTTTCACTTCTCATCCACCGCAAAATCTCCCAGGCGTTTTCATGGCTTAATCACATGAAAAGTTATCAAAGGGATCAAAGCACTTACTGTTCTTGTGCGCTGCCGACCCACACGTAATGAAGTCATTTGAATTCAGGTATTTTCACCTCCACTTTAGTTTCCTTTACACTGTTAGGATTGGCCCAAGCCTTATTATTATCACATACTTCCAAATGTCCGTCCAAAGACAATAACCATATGTCAACTGTCTGTTCAACAGTCCAAAATCTCTAGGGGAATTTGCAAAGGCCACAAAGCGATGCACTTGTCAAACGTAATTAATGCCCGGACAAATTAGGCTTTTAAAGGAGCATTATTTACTGGTATCTACAGTGACTGGTAATAAGGAATGAGGCGCACATATGGTATTGCTTATTGTCCAACCTCGGGGCTTTAGACACTTCGGACTGACGCTGCTGCTGATGTCTTTGTTTTTCTTTGTAGATTTGCAGAATGTAGGATTCCTTTGATGGAGTCCGTGTACATCTATTTTGATTATTCCTCCTTACAGTGATTAACATGTTTTCTTTTGTGTGTTTTATCTCTGCAGATGACACAACGTTGAAAGAAGTTAGCAGGGTAGGTTTTTGGGGCATGTCAATTGTTTATTTGAATGAAGAGTGAATGGACTAAAATGTTTAATTTTGAAAATGTATGTTTTATCAGTCCCACCGTATGGATCTGCCTCTTTTTTGATCTTCATAAAGCATAAATGACTGCACAACGCTGCCGAATCATCTGCATATCACAGTTTCAGAAAATAAAATCAGTTTACCGAAGCAAAAAAAAGCCAAGAGAGAGCTATGGCCATGGCGTGAATGACTCAAAACAAACCAAAAAAATAATAATATGATTGTGCATGTTATGTCTCCTTTAAACTATTTGTGTGTTGCTCAACTTGGCACAGTGGTTAGTACTTGTGCTTCACTGCAAAAAGGTCCTGGGTTCAAATTAGGACAGGGGTAGCCTGGCCTTATCCATCCGTACACTCCGTTCAATCATCATTTCACTGCATGTAACGTCTGGGTCTAGTCCCTGTGTTAGCGATTACAATCGGTTGAATTTCGACCGACCATTCAGAGAGAGCGGAAGGCGGGTGTTGTAGTTAGTTGTGGGTGATGTCAAGAGTTTGCGTCGAACAGGCAGGTTGTAGTTTGGTAATGGCGATAAATGTGATAGTAAAGTAATCCGGTCTGGTTCTATCAAGAAATTGAAGCCGGAGCAAGGGTAATGTATAGCAAATGTAATCACTGGAATTGTGACCCTACCCCCCAAATTGTGGCCCTAGCGGCAAAGGAGATGGCTAGGCTAAATGCTATATGCTAACAACAGACTCGGGCGCACTACATACGTCACGGTAAACTCAGATCCAATCGTTTCAATCTGCAAAAGGAGTTAACCCCTCCCACCTGCAAACGGAGCTCAATGGAGCACCTCCAGACCTTAGTACGAATTGTCATTTGTACTAAGGTGTGGTACACCCAGGCTAGGACAGGGGGGCCTTTATGTGTTTCCCCTACCACTAAAAAGATGAATGATGACAACAAACCGGTGCATTTACAGAAGCTGCTGTTCGTTTCTATAACTGTCCCATTCAAATAAAGAAAATAAGTTAGTTCCTACGATGAAACCAAACACCCCCGAAAGCACCAGAAGCACCATCACAATTTTTATTATTATTCATTTTATACTTTCTTTGAGACTGTAGAAAACAAAAGAAATCTGTAAAAATAATGTAAGATGAAAAACAACGGCTTCTCTTGTATTTCTAGTTTGTGCAATAGTAATAATCGTAATGCTGCCATTCCTCAAAGTTAGTGGAAAGTCACGTTCCCTCGAGTTCACACCTTCTGTCATTTTTACTCCATAAATCCCAGAGGATGCAGTGTGATCTCAAGCCCCCTGACCCTGTGCGTACGTCACAGCGGATACGAGGACAGGACGTCCTATGGGAGAGTCTTTCTAGTGCACCCTTCTGTCCACTGGCCTCCACAGGTGCAGAAATAGACAGGACCACTTCTTACATAACAGTCATTTGAGGCAGCATCAGAGCCACGTCTGCCGGAGCTGAATCAGAGCAGCAGAGGAGAGAAGTCGCACTGCTAATGCCTCATTCAAACATGTGGCTGGAGAAGCAGTGAATGGGACGCGTTTGTGAATGACAGAAAATATTGTGTGCCCTCATTCAAAAAGTTGTTGGGTCGAGTTTTTAATTTACCATTCTATCTTGTTTTTACAATTCAAATCAGATTCATTCTTGCTTATTCAATACAGGAGACTTTTTTCATAGTAGTAAAGAAATAAATGGTTTGTATTTTTGGCTGATATGACATGTAAGTAAGTCACCTTTATCTATATAGCGCCTTTCACAGACCAGAATCACAAAGCGCGTTTCAATTGTTGTGGGCATTTGTCTGTCACTCCACACAGAGATTGCAGCGGGGTCAGACCTATTGCACATGTTTTTAGTGGTAGGGGAAACCGGAACACACAGAGGAAACTTACACAGACACGGGGAGAACATGCAAACTCCACTCAGAAAGACCTGACCGAGTCTTTCTGACCGAGATTTGAACTCAAGACCTTGTAAAGTGTGATATACCAGACTCGATATACTTTGATTTTTAGCAAAACAAAGTTACCGTCATGTAACGACAACATTTCCTGAAAAATATATCTAGTTTTTCAAGTTTATATTTTGATTTCTTAGTTACATGTGCAGCAGATGGGACATGCCTTTCTGTCGCAGTAAACCCCTAACAATGACTCGTGTAATGATATGATAGTTACTGTCCTCCCAATTGTTGTTTTACAGTGAAAACATATGGGCTCTAAATGTTCTGCAGTTTACTCAACCCAACACATGCCTCTGAGCTTCTCGTGCCTGTTGTGGTGTTTAAACCTGATGTGTGTGTGTGAGCTGATGGAGGGTGGAGTTGTAATGTGGTGTGTGTCCTGTGTCCAGCAGTACCAGGACACCAACATGCAGGGCGTGGTGTACGAGCTCAACAGCTACATGGAGCAGCGGCTGGACACGGGCGGGGACAACAAACTCCTGCTTTACGAGCTGTGCAACATCATCAAAACTGGTAAACGCCATTCTGTCACATCATCGCAAAGCGCTTTGGGCAGAGGGTGTTGTTATAAATGTGCTGCTTAAAAGAAGTTGACATTGACATTGACAAGCTATTACTATTATACAGCAACTTTGTATTTACTGTTGTAGTCTTGTGAGCAAGTGAAAGTTAAAAAGCAATTCTTTAGGCTGATAGTTGGTCCCAACTGTTGGGTCAAGACTCAAAAGTGGGCAATTTTTGCTGGATTTTGTGTATCTATAAGTCACAAAGAAAGAAGTCCATTTCACTATTTAAAAATGGACCTTGATTTAGGAAAGTAATATCAAGACATTTTTCCATAATTAAAGTTTTCAAAGTAATGAATTACAAACAAAATTGTATATATTCTTAGTTTACTTTAAAACTTGCTCCATTGCCTGATTTCTCAATATTTGCTACATAACTCAAAGAAAAAGTGTCTAATCTAGTCTATTTCCTTGATTCCTGAATCAGTTGGGAGATATTTTGTATGTGTAGTATTATTCAATGTTGTTGGGTTCCAACACATTCCCTGTTGAGAACCATTGGACTTGATAATTATAAGTTTGAAATAAATGGTAATAGTAGTATTAATAGTAGTAAATAGGCAGATTTTAGCAAAAATAGAAAAATCTTATCCAACTGCACATTTTGAAACCCATAATATGTATCTGTTCTCATAGAAATTACTGTTATATTCTCTGTTGGTGATTAGAGGTTGTCAGCAAATGAATAAATGAGGATGGTCATAATGTTTTGGCGGATTGAATTTGAACAGATTCTCCAAATGACGTGACCTAAATATGAGAGCGAAATTAGACCGAGGAACGAAGTGGGAATGGGACAATGACGTCAAAACCAAAGCACTTGTTGTATCTGTATGTGGGACAGTGTTAATGGATGATATCAGTTCAGTGGCACACAATTCTTCACATTCTTACTCAATAATCACCTTTAAATGAAATGTTAGCTGTATGGTATTTATTGTCAGTGGTACATTTTGTTTAAAACTTTCTTCTTTTCCTCCTACAGCAACGAAAGCGGATGGATTTGCACTTTATTTCTTGGGAGAATGCAACAATGTAAGTAGACAAATTGTACCATATTTCAATCTGGTAAAGGAGTGAAGTTTTCTTTTCAGCCAATTCAATGTGGTTCACACTGAAAAAGTCTTTCAGCTAATAAGGCGCCAAAGTGAATGCTATAATAAAAATCAAAGTTGCATTAAACAGTCTACTGCAAACCTTATTATGTGAATGAACAATGGATTACCCCAGTTTTAAGACATTTTTTTCTTTCTCTATCGTCTGTGCTACTTACAGAGTTTATGCTTATTCACGCCTACGGGGGCCAAAGACGGGCCTCCCACCCTCATTCCCTACGGCCCCATCACATTTGGGACGACCATAGCCGCTCATGTCGCCAAGACTCGCAAAACACTGCTGGTCGAGGACATCACAGGGGTAAGAATTATACAAATACAGTTTCCAATGTTTTTGAGGTTGTTTCTTCGCGGTCTGTTACGGAGTTGGAATCGGTCAGAAAATAATATTTCCCAAGATTAAAAAGAAAAAAACACTATTTCAGAAAGGCAATAAAAATGTTCTTTGTTTTATTACTTTGAGGATTGTTTGAAGATTTCCATGGTGTTTTGGATGATGCCAAACATGTGTGAAATAAGGGGAGAGATGATAGAGACATTTACCACAGTCACACAGTCAGAGCCAGGAGGCGGTATCTTCTACATATCATACCACTACACCACCAACAATAGAAGAAGAAGCAGCATTGTACAATAGCTGATGGATTGTGATGAATGAATAATATTATAACAATCTACTCTGGGGGACACTTCAGAACTAATACTTAATTTAGTTTTTTTTATTTAAACTGGATTGAACTAAGTCTTATTGTTTTTATTATGTATATCAGCTTGAACTCCCAAATTAGTATATGAAGAGTTCATTTTCAAAAACAGATATATCTGGTTAAAAAATCTTGAATTAATTTGCGTAAGAAGGGGTGAAACTTTATTGGTATGGCACTAAAATAGATCTGGCTTTTCAAAAAACTACTTGGTGAATCGCAAACTATAAGCCTTTCAAATATTTGTCTAATGACCTGTACCTGTTTTTAAACTATTTATTTGTTCTTCTATTTTAGTCCATTCATAGTAATACAAAAGAAAAAAAAAAAAATCCAACATTTTACTGTTATATTGTTTTGCAAAGGGAAAGCACGCAGTTATTAAGGTGTACGCCCTTGAATATCGTGATACATTGTTAAAAATGTATAGATAATACCAATGGCATGGATAATTTTTTTAACTGTTACTTAACCAGGAAGTCCCATTGAGATTCAAGAGGGATGTGGCCAGCCGACACAATACAACAGTAAATACAAAATACAAAAAAAGGGTAGTTTTTCCATCTCTGTGAGACATGGTGGAACAATGAATAGTAAGAGTGAGGATTAGCAATATTGAAGGTTTTCCCCAGTATGGCTTGATCAAATATATGGACCATAAGAATATGTACCAACTGAGCTTTCTTCGAGTTGACAGCGACAACCAACTAAGTCATCAATCAGCGAGGCACAGTCCTTGACAAGCTGCATAAAACGTCAAGGATTCATACTCCTTCACTTCATATCTGTATCTTCGTCTCCATGTCATCGTTTATTCTGATGGTTCCAGGACGAGCGTTTCCCTGAAGGCACAGGACAGCACTCAGGGATCCACTCTGTCCTGTGTCTGCCCATCCTCACTGCCATCGGAGACCTGATCGCCATCATGGAGCTGCACCGGCACCGAGGCCGAGAGCCCTTCAACCTCAGCCACCAGGAGGTCAGTGTGTGTCCACAGCAGACCGAAAACACGCAAGTTACATCATGTTTTATTTTTTTGTGTAATCATTTTCTTATTCAAGTGTTCCATTGTATTCACACTTTACTTTTTGTATCCTTTTTGTTCCCCACATCCCCTTTTCCCTTGTGATGGGCCGAGAAGCTCAAAATTAAAATTTAAAAAACAATAATAAAATAAAAATAATACTTAAAAAATAATGAATAACATCACGTTTTTGTGAGTACAGGTTTTTGTTTATTATTGTATCGATATGAAGGTTATAGTATTACTGCAGTTTTACACACACACACAGGCCCAAATACACTCCTCATTACTTATTTTGGATCGGTTTCAAATGTTTAAGATCATTTTTCTCTCTCTGGACCTTTTACTCTAATCTTTAAGATCTATTAAATGGTGAAAAATACAAATAAATAGCTCCACACAAAACAGACATATGAATTGTCTCACTTTCTTTGTTACTTCATGCAGGTTGCAACAGCTAACCTAGCCTGGGCCTCGGTTGCTATTCATCAAGTACAGGTGAGAGACGAGTTCACTCCTCCCTCCACACCTCTCAGTTCACACCTCTCTTATTTTGATCTGCAGCCTTTTGTTTGTACTGGTCCTGCTGGTGTTTTGTAAATGGGAAATCCACTGTGTACTGGAACATGGCTCGTCACCGGGCCCAGACCAATCAACTGAGCCATAGATTGAACAAACATGTCCCAGAGGATGTCATTATGGCCCCGTGCTGTTTTTATGAGCACCATAACAGCTCAGAGAGAAGTGTCCCACTGCAGCCTGCCCACAATGGACTTCTGAACTTCTGTAAGGGACAGTGCAGTCTGAGGCGGCAAAACACCAGCCCAGGCCAGGGGATAATCAAGTATAGGCTGCTACTTTGAAAGTTTATCCATGTTCAATCAAACTTTAAAGTAGCAATATGTAAGATGTTTATGTAATTTCATTAAATGGCCCTAATCTGTCAAAAAGCATTAACAAAACATGCTCTTGTCAAATACTTCTTTAACTGATAAAAGTAGTTCAGCCCAGATCTTTGGATTTCAAAATTAGTTGTACAGCCCCTCAATCTTTTTATTGTTTTTATTTTGATGTCCCGCCCTCCACTGTTTTACCAATCAGAAAGTCCATGATCCGGGTTGCCAGAACTCACCGGGTCGACATCACATATGGCCACAGAATTAAAGAAGGTCTCATTATGATTCTCAAATCATTAATAACACTTTTGGCTTGATTTTTACATAATGCTCCGTTAAAGCATTGGTATTTTATATTTTCAAACAGTTGAAGTAACTTTCTCACTTACTTTGAAAGGGGAAAAAGACATCTAAATAAATCTATGTTCTTAGGTGAATTATTTGTATTCAAACCTCTGAATGTTTGGCAGAGCGACCAAATGACCTCACATGGGACTGTCTTTTATGCTTGCATGGAATAGTTACTTTGTTTTTACTCAATGAAGTTTAGTTTGGCAGTACCCTTTCAGGAGCTCAACATCAAATGGATTTATAGCTATTTAAAGCTGGAGTACCTAACTTTAACACCTCAATCACCTCAGTCATATCCTTAGATCAGCTTTTTCAGACATAGGAGTGAAAAAGAGGAGACCAAATAGTGACTGTGATTGGATTGAACAAGATAAATACAGCATGTTTTGGTCTATGGTTTCTGTTTGGACAAAGAAAGATTTATTACCCGTATCTTGGACCCAAAAAAGTTAGGAAACCTAGTGCCACATGTTATGATAATCTTCCTTTATAAAATTAGTTCTGTAACATTAAAGTAACATATTTTTTGTAGTGTTTATACAACTACTGAACATGGCTCTTTCAGTGACCTTTTGTTGTTCGCAGGTATGCAGAGGCCTCGCCAAACAGACGGAGCTCAATGACTTTCTACTTGATGTGTCAAAGTAAGTGTTCACAAAATCACTGTCTGAGTATCCCAGGATTGTCCCAGTATAAAAAATGTTTTAACCAGTAAATGTTTTTTTTGTGATATAAAAAAAGAAAAAACGATGATAGCTTATTGTAGGAAAGACAGCATCATGTCCTGAATGTGTACGTCATCTGGGCTTCCCATTTGTCAGACATTTCAATGCACCATTTCTTCTTTTCGCACAGAACATACTTTGATAACATTGTGGCAATAGATTCTCTACTTGAACATATTATGGTGAGTGTGATTCCTGAAAGTTTGTATTCATTCACATTGTCTCCAAAGCTACATACTGTGTTTAATATATGTTTAGACACATTTAAAAAAGCCATGTAAAAAAAATAATCTCAATTACCGAAGTCTCACTATCATTTCTAACTCGTCATCGTTTATATGTCTCCCTACCTTGACTGGGTGCCATCTGTGGAGTATTTAAGTCATTGGGTTCAAGTTAACTCAGATGACCTGTAGTTTTATTGTGTTTGTCTGTGGCTCATTTACTAAACACTTGGGAGTTAAGATGGTGCATAATAACTCTGCTCTGCTTTGGATGTTTTGCATAACATCGTATTACAATCATTTCGTCTTTTTTTCAGATATATGCAAAAAACCTGGTAAACGCGGACAGGTGCGCGCTCTTCCAGGTCGACCACAACAACAAAGAACTGTACTCCGACCTGTTTGACATCGGGGAGGAGAAGGAAGGAAAACCTGTTTTTAGGAAAACCAAAGAAATCAGGTGTGAAACTAATAAAACTCATCTGCTTTAAAAAATTCCATTTACTAACCTTAATATTTTGTCTGTCTAGGTTTTCAATAGAGAAAGGAATAGCAGGACAAGTCGCACGAACGGGGGAGGTTTTAAATATCGCAGATGCCTATGCAGATCCAAGGTTTAACCGGTAAAAACACAATTAAATTTGACTTGGTCATTTCTAGATCATTCATTGTATTGGTATTTATTGACTTTACAACACAGCTATGCATAAGTAATCTATATTCTGTCTCTTGTAGCTTGTAGCAACACTTGTTTATCTCCATGGAAATACATTTGATTAAATGTTGTAAGAATTTCCACACAGAGCTATTTAAATGTGGAAAGACTCAGACAAAGAATGCATTAGAATGATGTTTATGAAGTTACATTTACTTGAGGTAAATACATAGCTGGAGGATTTGGCACTTACCATGTACACATATAGAAAAACAAAGTATAAAATTTTTTGACACGTGTTGGTGGAACATGGAATACTGATATGGGCATAGGTGCTTTGACAGAAAAATCTCATGACATTGTGGTGATGGGGAGGAGGGTTGCAGAATGAGTTGAAGCTGCGCAATGGAGCAAGGCACTGTTTAAAGGCACTGTTTAAAGGCAGACTGATTCCAAAACAAGTGTGTAATTGTGCCTTCTGAAGTTGCTTGCTGATCAGCAGGGACATCGGTTAGTACTACAGGGAGGGGAGTGACCGGCTTTAGGAGAAAGGATATCAGTCTTCCAGTCTGACTTTAAACTTCATAATCATCTCAGTGGGGACAACCATACTCTTAGGAGTATGCATATTTATTAGTAATTAAATAAACAAGATATAAGCAAATTAAGTGGAGCTGCAAAGTGATCCAGAAGAAAAATTACCCATTTAAAATCTCATTAGTAGTTCAGAAAAATCCAAGTTTGAAGATGCGTGGAAGCAGGAAGTGGGCGGGCACTTGGTTTTTATTTATTCATATCTGATGTATTGGAACTGCCATGATTGTGTGTCCCAGGGAGGTGGACTTGAAGACTGGCTACACGACGCGTAACATCCTGTGCATGCCAATCGTGAGCCGCGGCACGGTGATCGGCGTGGTGCAGATGGTGAACAAACTGAGCGGAAGTGCCTTCACTAAAACTGACGAGAACAACTTTAAAATGTTTGCTGTCTTCTGTGCTTTGGCCTTACACTGTGCAAATGTGAGTCAAATGCGCCATGAGTACTGAGAAAGGACTTATTACCATGGGTAGCATTTCACATTGATAAAGTCAAAACCAATTTCTTTCAATCATTTCAATGGTTATGTTGTTCAAATTGGCACTTAAAGACATTTACTTATGTTCTTATGCTCTGATCAATACTGTTCAGTATGTATAAACAAGTATGGGCTATGTATAGTCCCAAAGGCTCTTTACCAACACAAAAAAAGTTACATAAAGGTTTTTTTCTTTGAACTTATGAAAAACAGCCATTGTATATAGCCTTATCATCTGCCGCCACCCTAAGCTTATTTCTGTTCCTACTGCTTAAAAATGAACTCACTGTGGATTAAAAGAATCAACGAAAACCATTAAATCATAAACTCTTTGCCCAACACTGGACAGTACATATCCCATGTAACAGAAGTCTTTGGGAGTGGGACTGTATAATCATCATCGTGTGCGTCACTGTTGGTTTTAAAATTGATGAGGGGTGTTAATATTTTAGTGCAGTCTGTTGTTATGGTTTGTGTTGAGTTTTACATAAGAATATCTTTCTGCTAAGGATCAGCCGTCATTTATGAGTGGGAGTCCAAGATCCCTCACCCTTTCTTTTTTTTAATTTGCAGACATACAAACATGAATAGACATTTAAGAAAATACAATAATGGTCACATTGTTAAAATTTGGCATTAATATCTCATTCTGATTTTTTTGTAGATGTACCACAGAATTCGTCACTCTGAGTGCATCTATCGAGTGACCATGGAGAAGTTGTCATATCACAGCATCTGCACGTCAGAAGAGGCAAAGACCCTCACACAACTCAACCTCCCAGCTCCCATTTATAAAGAAATAGAAACGTGAGAAACCGTTTTACTATTCCTGAGGTTGAGTACATCGTAATGTTGAGCACAAAATTTTATTTTTCATTCTATACCTGCTTTTAGAAAAGTTATTTTTGAGGTGGCTGTTCTAACTTCAGTTCATGCCTCTTGTTTTCTCATACATGTATTTTTGGCCTCCGTCACATCTTTAAATCGTCTTTTTCAGGCAGAAAAGAGAAAAGTGAGGGCCAGTCAACTCTCAGGTCAAAGTGTAAAATAGTGATTCGCATGGCTCGTTCTCACACGTTTGAAAATATAAGATAAGCCTGTATTTTGTGTTATTTATCAACAACAACAATGTTACCCCATCTTTATTAGTTCAAATTCACTCTACTGTTCTTCAACCTTTTAGTCAGGGGCCCCACAAATATTTATCATATCACAACCCCTGCTGCTGAATAAAATTGAAAGCAGAAATAATGCTAAATACATTTTGTTGAGACCATTGAGAACCACTAAACTAAGCCATAGTAGTTTATTATCTCATGTTTAGTATTCAAGCCAAAATGAGTCTACAGAAACATTATAAATGCTATAAAGAGTTTGGTCATTGTTGTAATAACTGTGAATAAACTTGTTTTCTTGATGACATTTTGCTGTTTGTATTGTTGTTAAATTTACTTTAAATGTGTGTAATAGTTTAAAACAGGGCCTAAGATTAAGATGTGTCTCCCTTCTCACCTGTTTGCTAACAATAATGTTTTTTTCCGTCTCCAGGTTCCACTTTGATATCAGCCCCTTTGAAGAAATTTGGCCAGCTGTTTTCATCTACATGGTTCATAGTTCTTGTGGCAAAACTAGGTACCCAATCTTTCATATGCACTTATATTACTATTACATACACGTTTTAGTATGTTCTAATGTATTTATCTGTCAGTTTTGAATTAGAGAAACTGTGTAGGTTCACTATGTCCGTCCGGAAGAACTACCGGCGCGTGCCCTACCATAACTGGAAGCACGCGGTCACGGTGGCTCACTGCATGTTCGCCATCCTCCAGAAAACACCAGGGACCTTCACAGAGCTGGAGGTTAGTTCTTCAATATAATCCAAAAAAGATAATGCTAAAGATGCACAATATATATGTTTGTACCACATTCTGTTTAAAATGTTGGTTGGACTAAAGGCTCCTATGTGTTGGTTTTAATATCCTCCTGTGTTTTAATGAATGAATGAAGCCTTTATTAGTACCACAATTAATTCAGAAAAGACGACTGCTGTTGTGAATTAGGGCTGTTCAAAGATAAGTGGACATTCTGGCTATGGTCAACATTCATTCACACTATAATGTCATCTATTTGTTTAAAAAAATGAAATGCATAATGTTCATGTATCCAGTACACATCTTGTGCATTTAGCAGACAATTAAATACTGCAGCTTCAAAAGTAAAAAGTTTGTCTCTGCTATGGATCATTCCTGGATGGTAAAAAACATGGTATATCATGTTTACTTGTCTTTCCAGTTTTTTCAGGGAAAAAGCTATGGTACTATATATCAATGTCACAAACTCATGTCAATTATGCACTGTATAAACCAAAATAAGGCCTTTCCATTGGAGTATGTAAAGAGGAGGCAAAATCTGAGGCACACTGGTTGTAGGATGAGTAAATTCTCTAATACCTCTGATATGTTTTCACCTATTGAAGCACCACTCCTCTCGAACCTTTTTCACCAAAACACATTGAACACATGCCGTTTTGTGAATGGACTTGTTTCTCCACTTATCTGATCTGTATAAGGCCGAGGGGGGTTAGGGTTATGGATGTTGTGTCATTATTTGCTTGTAAATGTTAAAACCATACAATTTCACTTGCCCTCATAGAGCAATAACATACATGATTATTTTGTTTGCAGAAAAAGGGTTTATTAGTCGCCTGTTTGTGCCATGACCTGGACCACCGCGGGTATAGTAACACGTATCTCCAGAAGTTTGACCACCCGCTGGCCGCTCTCTACTCCACATCCACCATGGAGCAGCATCACTTCTCACAAACGGTCTCCATTTTGCAGGTAGATCTCAATTATACGCATAACAATTGTACTTTTTCCTTTCATTTATTGTAAGATTAGAGATTTACAAAAGCTGACAAAAACTGCAGAGAGTTCATAGGAATTTCGCAACAGCTTTAGACGTCATTATGAGGAACCAGAACTTCCCCAGTGATTTTCATGAATGCAACAAACAGAGTGAGACTTGTGTTGTTTAGTGGACATCGGCTTCTTTGGGGAAAAAAAGAAGAAAGAAGCAGAGCCGTGAAGCTGGGAGGTGGGCCAGGCGTGGGAAGGTGGGCTTGTTGCACGCTCTGGATTTTCTGCAGAGAGAGAGAAAAACCAAAAAAATATAAACAAACTATAGTAGACCAGACCACAAAATAGGTCCCAAAAGAATTAAATGAGCCTCTATATGGGGATTTCCAGACCCTGTAATCCCCCAGCCGCATTAACAGAGCAACAATCAAATCTCCCCCGGCTCATCCGTATAACAAATATATTATGGACATATAAAAAAAAATTGTATTCTACTGTCTTATCGATCTATACATAACGATAGTGTTCTAAAGTATTCCCAAAAGTACATGAGCAAGAGTAAAAATACAATATGAGGAGGTTTCAGATGGGAACTTCTTAAAAGGCTTTCTCTAAAAAGTTATTTATTAGATATTTATACAAATGCAATTAAACTGACAACAAGCAGAGCAGAGACTTGCACACTGGCCTTTCGCTCTTGTTCTAGTTTAGCAAAGACCAATGCCTCTTAAGTGGAGCTTTTGCTTTTTTATCCATCTCTTTGTTTCTCATAGCTGGAAGGGCACAATATTTTTTCCAACCTGAATTCCAGCGAATACGAAGAAGTGCTGGAGATCATCCGAAAGGCCATCATCGCCACAGACCTCGCCCTTTACTTCAACAACCACCAGCAGCTGTCCGAGCACCTGTCTGTGGGCACCCTGGACCTCAACAACCACTCCCACAGGTCAGGCACACGGATGAAACCTGACGATACCGGAAGCAAATATACTATACTGCACAGCTACTTTTTACTTTTACACTTGTCAGAGAAAAATGCAGAATATGCCGATTTTTGCTTTAAATCAAGTCTGAAATCATTTTAGACAAATGTTTTTCATCAAACTTTCAAAGAAGGCTACTAAACGTGGACAATAGTGTGAATATTTTTTTTAAAGTAACAGTTATTTGACATTTTAAGACACTGAAACACCTCTGTTTTTTATTATGACATCAATAACTCACATCTTTCTTCTATGTTAATATCCATCTTCCATGAATGTTTCTCCAACAATGTAAAGTAGATTTTATATTATACAGTGCCTCTCTAAAGTACTATTACAAAATGAACCGTCTCACATTTTGTCCTGTTTATAGCTGCTTACCTCCAAAATATGTGCATTGAAAAATGTTTTGCACATTACATTTAAGTACATAGAGATGAGCTTTAATTCACTAATACTGTTTATATATTATCTGTTTTCTATGTTTGGAATAACAGAATCATGTATCATTTTGCTTTCACTTCACATCTGTGTTAATGTGTGTGAACCTTCAGTAATGGTTGTAAACATGACAATATTCTTAGTTTGTGACTTCCTGTTACTTACAATGGCAAAACAAACCAAATTCTGATTCTGAAAATGTGCAAACGTTCAAGGTGTAGTAGTACTTTTGAGAGGCACTTTATATCAATTATTATTATTGATGTCCAGTCCTTATTTATATCTGTATATTTAAAGGATATATTCAATAATATATCAAATTGTCAAAAGAAATGGTATAATGATCCACTTATCTATTGTGTGGTAACACTGATCTAAAGCAAGAGATTTCCAGAGCTGTTTAAATCTGCAGAACTGGAGGTAGCCGTGCATAAGTCTGTTCAATTCTAGACAGCAGCGGGTTTTCATTTGCTCATAATTAATGACGGTAGCACACTGTAGCTACGTAGTATGTTTTTAGCCCTACATGTCACTATAACTGTATGGAGAGTAGTACAGAGAGGGGATTGGTGGAAGGTGAAAAAGAAATGTACTTAGCCCTGAAGATATTTAGATTCAGATTCAAAAAACTTTATTGATCCCAAAGGGCAATTCATTTGCAGCATAAACTCAAAGCAGAACACACATACTCTACACAAACACACAGTTAGTCTCAGAGTCCACACAGCAGCAGGTTACACGACATAAGATAAAAACAAGAATGAACAACACAATTCCCAAAAGTCAAACACCTCTTCCAGAGTTCAACAGTTTTATGGCAGAGGGCACAAAAGAATTAGATAAAGGATTTCTTTTCCGTGCTGGAGCATAAAAACGACGCCCTGAGGGCATCATTACAAAGTCAGCGATCAGAGGATGTTTGGGCTGAGCCAGAATACATTTTGCTTTATTCAGCACCTGTTCCTCCCACAGATATTTTGTTTTTCTAGTATCAAAATGTTCTGACTGAGAGCGAGGGCCTCTCCATAGATAGTGCCTGTATCCCGTGATTGGAGCTGCCATCTGCATGTTGTCATGGCGATAGATTAAGATGAAGAGATCCTTTATTCGTCCCACAGTGGGGAAATTTCAGTGTTGCATCACCAGTTACAGAACATGAGGAATGAGGAGCACACAGCACAAGAAAAAAGAACAATAACTCTATACTAATTAAAATGAAATAAAAATCTCTAGCATAAGAAATAAACCAGTGTAAATTCAGAGTACAAAAACTCCGACTATTGCATAATAAAAAAGTATAAAAAGGAAAATTCCAGGCAAAGCAGATTCCGGACTCACCTCGATAGATTCCACAGAGCATCTTTACTGTAGAGTTATATTTCAGCGTTTCGTTTGTAGGTCACTTTGTCCCAGTTTAGACGCAGCTCCTTTCTGCATTGCACCTGGTTTTTCGGCCGTGCTTTAGTTCAGTTTCACTTTGCTCTCCTTGATGTCGCTGTTACATTGAGTCTGCATTGAACCGTTTGATGGTCACATGTTTTCCCCAAGGTAACTCAAGGCCAGATGAGTGAATGTCGTTTTGTTCAAAGTTGTTTCCCGCCACAGCGTCACACACACAAACCTGTTTCACCACATGGATTAGAAGGAGTTTTTTGCTCTCGCTGCAGGGACCGAGTGATTGGTCTGATGATGACAGCATGTGACCTGTGCTCAGTTACCAAGCAGTGGCAAATCACACGCCTCATCGCCAACGACATCTATGCAGAGTTCTGGGCCGAGGTACACTGAGACTCTGTTCAAATTCTTGTAGCCTCACACTCATGCCTGCAGTGATACAAGTAAACCTCCATTATTACTTCTTCGTGCTGCCCATTGCCAAAAATAAATTAAAAAGTGAGCTAAAGATTGAATGTTATATTTTCTAAGTCTTGGTGTGTTTTGCCACAGGGAGATGAGATGAAGAAGATTGGGATCCAGCCGATACCCATGATGGACAGAGACAAGAAGGATGAGGTTCCCCAGGGCCAGGTAAGTGCAGCGCATTCAGGGTTAGCACTATTTTAAGGAAAAGATGAAAGAACCACAATGCAGCCAAAATATTTGCATGCACCGATTGGTTTTGCGGCCACAGCAGGAAGACATAAGAATAACGTAATCTAAACTTTTTTTTATTATTATAGCTGTAATTCCCATACTGTATCAATCAATAGGCTACACAGTGTTTCATATATGCCCATTCAAAATGTTTTAATGATGAACTTTTGGCTGAAATGAATTTACCGTGCTGTGGATCATAGTTACCAGGTATCTAGTTAGCCTCTGTTGTGTCTTCAAACTCTTGATATTTAGATAATTCAAAAGGGATTTTGAATGGAAGTGTATTATTATACTCCTGGAACACAAAGCTCCGCCCACTTCCATGGCCCGACCTTTATCAATTAAAAGAAAAAACATAGTGTGCTTTCAAATCAAATGAAATCCAATCCATGTGTTTTTGAAATCACTTTTATAATTTTCATAACAACATGGTGTGCTTTCAAATCTAATCAATTTAATTTTTGTCTCGAAGGGTATCAGAGTTTTTTATCATCATCAGCACGTTAGAAAAATTAAACAATTAGAACACGAATGAAATTCAATAAACACCTAAAAGTCCTTTAAAAGTCCAAATACAAACACATTTGTGTACCTTTGGTAACACAAAAATCTGTATGTCTGTATATATTGTTTGCTTGCCCTTTAAATACCCCCCACCCCAAAATAGACATGCTCAATCCATTATTGTGTTGTTTACTTGAAAGTGTTAGTCTATCTAATTTCACTTGAATAATCATATTTTCTGATTTAGTTTATGAAATACAGGGAAAAAGTGTTTTAAATTTGATTCATTCCCCGAAAGAGGCACTACCCCCCATTTTGAGAACCACTGCTCTACTCTGGAAAATTGCTTCAAGTGCATCAATAAATACTTTGCAATTTCCCTTAAAAGTACATGGAGACTAGCTTTAATTCACTAAAACTATTTACAATACAATCTTTTTTCTAAGCCATTTGTCAGCTCCATTATATCTTTATGTAATTGAGGAAATTGCATTTGGCCAGTGATTGATGATCAGGGGTTTTCTGAGCTCAAGGGGACCACAGTTCTAGGTCAAATGTGTATTGTATAAGAATGTTGACAGAAATGTGAAATACACATCATTAACCTGAAGGCAGAACACTCAATTCTCAAATATAGCTATGTTCTTTTACAGAAAAAGTCCCTCAAACGTAAATGTATCCAAGCTTATCCCATGACTTATTGTATCAACGAGAAATTTGAAGTTTGAAGTCCATTACTTTACTATTATTGAGACAAAAAGTAACTCATAGTAATAATCACAAACCCTGACCGTTTTGACTTTTCAAAATGTTTCCTCCGCAGGTGGGATTTTACAATGCAGTCGCAATTCCATGTTACACAACGTTAGCCGAGCTGTTTCCTCCGTCCAATGTTCTTCTCAACGCCTGCAAGTGAGTAGTGAGTGTGTCAGAATGGCAATGTCATGTCATTGTTTTTAAAAGAAATACAGAGAAATAAAGTGTGATTATATGAGCCTATATACCTGTATGTGAGCCACACTTCCTACATTTTAAAAGAAAGTACATTTTATCGACATAACTCGTCAAAACCTGATTTAATGATGAGGTTTTTTACAGCTTACCTATTAGCTTCCATACTAATTAATTCACCTATAATTATTATTAAACTTTGATAATAAACAAGTGTTCTAAAGCTACTAAAACTTGATGGAGCCATAATAATAAGTTCATAAACAACCACAATAAAAATACACGTATTATGGTGCTTTTCGACCGCCAATGCTGAAACGCACGTTCTCTAGTTTTCAGACGTAGGGGTCTTCAGACCAGATGTCCTGGCGCGCGCCGGAAGTGCCGGAAGTAGCCGGCGGGCTCTAATGCTAACAGAGTTATGCTAGCGACTTCTTGTGTACAGATCTTCTCCAATAATACAGCTTTGCAGCTTGTCTGTGTTCAGAGACCTTCCACAGACTTTAACAGTAGTATGTGTTCAAGGAGGTGCGCAATAAGTTTATTTTATTATGAAACGGTTCTTCCGCATCGGCAGACACACTCGAAGCAGTTGCATTAAGTCACGGGAGCATGAAAACTCACATGTTCACAAGCACTATGTCCCCCGTTGTCAACCCTGGTTTAGTCCTGGTGTAGCTCCTGTTTTGGCTGTTTACAGTATGTTCAGTCTGCTCGCTCAGACCGCTAATGTCCCCGTGACCACTTTGCGGCTCTCTGATTGGTTGCTGCACGAACGTCCCAAGGAAAGGTTGAGCAAAATTCATCTCCTGCGTTCCTCCCCTTCGACTTTCCAGAGCGGTTCGTGCGTGCATTCCGGGCACGCTCGAACGCGCGTCACCATTGACTTTGCATTGAAAGCCGACGCAACGCATGATCCGGTCTGAATGCGGCATTAGCTGTATCACTATATAATCCGCAGGTTAGAAAAAAAAACTAGATAAAAGTATTGGCTTGAAGTCCAGAAAATATGGGATGCATAATTTTTAGTTGTGAGTTTTTGAACAGACCTTAAGTGACCACCAGCAGTTAATGACCAGGGACTGATTTGATCTGATTGACAAAAGCACAGAAGATGCACATGCCAATAATTCCTCTAACCACAAACAAAACAAGTACACCTCTGTTCACTAATCAAGTAAAATACCAAAGCAGGCATAGACATTCAGAAGTTTAATGATGTATAAGGTGCAATTCTGTAATATAAAGAAATAATTGTTTTCAATTTATCCAAAATTATTGTTTTAATCTTGATATGTTATGCATTTATAACGTTATTATCCAGGTTCAAAATTCAATCTGGATATCATGGGCAAAGTGATCATCTAGTGAATGTTATGGTGCAAAATGTTATGCCATGTTAATGAAAAAGAAGCTCAGAAATCTGTGTCTGAATGCACCCTTGAAATAGTGTTTTAAGCACCTTGAGGGAAGAAAAGCAGCATTTTGTTAATCAGAATGATGTTCCAGTCCATCTTTTTGTGTCTACTTATCGTGTGCTTAGGGAGAACCTGAGCCAATGGGAGAAGATAGCGAGCGGGGAGGCGGAGGACATAGTGAAGGAGCCCAGTCGGTCGTCTGCTGGAGATTCAGGTCCCGTGAAGGTGGATAACTGACCCCCAAAGGACCGCCGCTGTGCCACCAAAGGAGCTGTGCCCGGACCCTGCACCGCGCTGTGGAGGGCCGGCGTTAGCAGCAGCAGATGACAAAGCTAAATTCAAATTTGACTTTGAAAACACACAGTAACCTCATCAAGCGACAGAGGTGTCCACACTGATCCAGGGACTGACTTTCGCAGCCTGCGGGAAATCATGTGGTGACAGAGATTGGCTGCGTTTTGGTTATCAGCTGTTATTATTTGATGTAATTTTATAATTTTGTTTTTTATTTGAGCTGTATCTTTTGTGGTCTTGCATTTGAGAGGCCTTAACTCCTTTTACTGGCTTTTTAAATGGTACTGTTTACCATCTGTGGTAGGGTTATAATAGCAAACTACTACAGTAAGGTATTTCCAGTGACAGAAGGAATGTGCGGGAGATGAGATGCCACCTTATTGAAAAGGTGAACGTAAGAATGTTTTTTTGTTACTTTTGAGCAAAAATCCTTTGCAGTACTTGAATGAAGACACACAAACTCTTGAAAGCCCTTCCGGCTTACTTTTACACAAACATGGGCAAACTGTGAGTGAAGTAAGATATTGTTGGTACTTGTGAACACAGTCACAAGAGAGTCACAATGTGCAGCCCAAAGCATCACCCTTGGCCCTTCTAATATCACAAAACCTGCTGTGCTGTATTTCCACGTGTGGATCTTACCCAAAATTAGCGATATTCCACAACTTGAGTAAAAGGTAGAAGAACCATGCACGATTAGCTTTTGTTGGGATTTCTCTCCGATTCAAGAATGGTGTATCCACTCTTATAACATTTTCTGACGCAAGTGTTGCCATAAATAATTTCACACTACAATATGGGAGGAGCTGTGCCTTCGTTTCTCTCATTAATCAGTAATCATTTCTCCCTCATCAAATAAACAGGACGGACCACACAAGTTGGGGAAGATCTCTGAGCAATAGTCCTTTATGAACAACACATTTCTGCTCATGTATTTTCTTTTCAAATACCCCTTTAGTTACAGATAAAGGCATGTTTCTGTTTTCTTCTGTCCTCTCGCCAATCTTTGCATTTGGAACAGAAGTGTCTTTGATCCCAGCCGGAATGGACAATGAAAAGCAAAACATAATTTAAACAGTACAGGATGTATCCAAGATCTTCCAAAAGACTTTATGCCTAAAACTTTCATTCCAAGCACCGCTGTCCAAGACTGAATTTTTTGTCCAAACTATTTGTTTTCTTATGACTGGTACTGTGGCCCTCCCCTTTATGGTGTGAATGTAAATTTGTGGAATGTTTTGTTAAATGCAGATACATGGAGTTTTGGCATGTGAGTTAGTAAGCCATCAGTTGATAAGATGCTTACTCTGTCTTACTTTTGGCAATTGCTTCTAGTAAGCTTCAACTAAGAGCAACAATTAGCATGCACCTAATATGAAATGGATATATACTTTTGAATATATAATAGGTGTATTCTGTGTCCAATCTAGAGTTGTGTTTTACAGACTTATTGCTCTGATGGTGCTAAGCTGAGTGGCAGTTTTCATGCACTTTTTGACGGGTGTGTGTTCATTGTGTGTGAGTGACTGAGACCCCCCATACATCCCCCCCGTCCCATATGAGAATTCTGAACACTGCACTGTCCCTCCACTCCACAGCACCAGTTCCATCCTGTTGTCTGCACTATGTTTAGCTTATAATCTTTATCCTTAATATTATTGATGATTACAATATTATTAATGATTATTATATTATTGATATTATTACTATTGTTATTTTCTTAATTAGAGTTAAATTTAAATTAACTTATATTTTTATACAAAGAAAAATAACGTTGGCCTTTTTGTTTTGTACAAAGTAAACATTAAGATAAACAACAAGATAAAGACATGTTACTGTTACCCAGAATAACAAAGGAATGTCTAAACTGTAAATGTATGAGCAGTAGCCAAATGAATTTTATTAAATACATAAAAAATACCAACTTTTTCTGTTTTTGTTTCCTTTCTTCTTTACAATGCATTGCATTACTACAACTTAATAACTGGAGCCCACTGGCAGCCAAATATTTCAGACTGAAAGTGGCCTATTTTCCAGGGAGGGATGCTGATGGCCTACATTTGAGCCACCTTTTTACATATTTCAGAAAACGTGTAAGCTAATTCTGGTTGTTTAGGACAATATTTACCAGTCAGGGGCATAGGGAGAAAACTGTTTTTTAAAAAGGTGTTTAATTTAGATGTTTAAGTGCTTACATCCATAAGACATGTCAGGATTTTTTAATATACAATTAAAAACTAACCTTTCAAAGTTGCAATTCACACATAATATAGGAACTAAGGAGCTTTTGGTAACTATAACTAAGTAAGCTTTATTTATATAGCGCATATCGAACAAAGCATTTTACAATGTTTTGGAGTACAGATATTGTCCTATTCTCTCCACACTGTGATAGGGAAACGAGATGTTGAAAACTGTGGCATCAAAGTCTCTGACCATCTCAGTTCTTTTTGCTGGAATGTGTTTTTGAAGTAATGTTGAGGAATTTACTTCCATCGTTTAAGGTATTTATTGCATTATTGCATTTGTTTATTCAGAAGCCACAACAAAAGGAAAAAAAGACATGAGATTATCTGCAACTGCACTTGACCTTATTTTCAGTCTGTTTTGTTCCATGTTTCGTCCATAGACTTCGTTGAGTCAAGTGACGTCAACAGGAGAGACGCGAACTTTACGCGCGGCGGTAACCATGGCGACCTGGCACAGAGCAGTTCATATCCACTCTCAGGTAGGACTCCGGACTTGACTTATTTAACTTATGTTAATGCGGGTTTTATTAAGCACAGATGGGTATAGCTAACCTTACATCTTATTGTATTGTATACTTTGGCCTGTATTGTGTACTTTGGCCCTGAAAGATACAAATCATTTTTTGTAGCTGATTTACAACTTAAGCTATAGCTAGCTAGTTAGCTAGTGTTGCAAGGAGCTAACGAGCTGGTATGACTGGAAAGTAAATGAACAAGTTTTTTATTAAGTTACTCAAGTTAACTTTACCCAATTACTTGAGTTTTTTGAAGCAGAAAATGTTGTAGATTAGTCACTAATCTTTTTAATTAGTGGTAAATTAGGGCTTTTTACTTTGACAATAAATGTAACTTGCCTTAAAATGTATTGTTGCAGTGATTAAAGACACAATACAGATACAAATGTAGGTGTCATTTTCAAAAACTATTTTGAACATTTTCAAATTTCAGATGCTCCTGGACCAAATACATGCGGTAGTTTTTTCAATTGTATATTTCACATTTAGATACATGTTAACTTAAGCCATTTAATTGTACTTTTACATGATTGCAAATCTTCATTATTGTTTCCACAACTAGTTATTATACATTAATATTCAACATTTAATCCATGTACATTGTAAATTAAGCCTTCCTTCCTTTCCTGTGGTTCAATCTCAACAGACATGTCCACCAGACCAAAGCCTGGTTCTTTTGGGAGGGACATCCATCGGCTTCTCCAGGCGGCAGAAGAGGGTCACAGGGCTGATGTCTTGACCTACTCCTCAGGGCACCTAGGGCCACGGAGCCTTGTCCTCAACCAGCCTCATGAAGAATCAAAGCAGCCATTTTGGGCCTCTTCCAACAATCGCAAGGAATCTCCAAGACCTTTAACTCCTCGGATCAAGCCTATAAAGATTGGGAAGAATAACATGAAAGAATATTTAGCAGAGGTCACAGCAGATTTCACGTCACTTACTCTCGAGCAGACTTCGACCTCAGATCTCACCAACAACTCGCCTTTTGATGCTGTCCCAGGAGAAAATGCTAGTTTAAATAAGTCCTTACCCTGCATGAGAAAGCCACTGCCTAAAATACAGCCCAAAAAAGTTCACAAAAAGTTAGAAAACACATCCAAACTGAAAGAAAAACAGTCTGGGAGTGACACGAGCAGCAAAGAGCAGATGATTGTTTGGACAAATTCTGCAGAAATACATGAGAAGAAATTAGAAATAGTAAGTGGGAGGAGATTGTTTTTTGCTCTTGTAACATTTTGTTGTTTTTTCAGTTTTTCACATAACAGCATCTGCACTTAATTTCCCCTCATACAAGACAAAGTAAGATTTTTATATTCCTAGTGTCAGTCCAACTACACACCCAAGGACAAATTAAAGTTTGGGATTATGGCTTGTACTCTAACTATTGGACACAACAAATGTAGTCTTTCCGTCCTTGTATGAGTAAGACCCAGGGGCCTAATTATGCCTTGTTCCCAACCTAATTTGGAATCATAATAGAAACCCAAACATTATTTTCCAGTTGGACAAGCTGCATTTAAGAAAAAAAAACATTTGTCATTACTAAAGAGGCTACAGTAATAATTATAAAATAGTTGGATTACCAAGAAACCTTAAGGAACCAGAAAATCTTTCCATTTATATTTTCTCTTATGAAGTCACTTACTGAAGTCCATATGAATCTATAACGTTCACACTCAATTCTTCTTCCTACTCCCTTTCAGGCAGCTATTTTGGTTTATTATTATATTTTTTTCCCTCTTATGCATGTTAGCAATACTTTATTTACTTTTGTTGGAAACTATGATGGACAAGAGGTGACTTGTGCCCATAGTGAAATGCCTGAAATTATTAAACAAACAATTCAAACCTAACTTTTAGCATTAGCAGTTTTATCAACGACTTCAAGAACACACCCTTTTGTAGTTTATCAAAGGTGATAGAGTTCATACAGTGTGTTGTGTCGCTGACAGGAGCTGCAGAAGCTGTCATCGCAGCGCTGGCCCAGCAGAGACCGCCTCAGCGTCTTCAGTGACGTCTTTGGTGATGTGTGTAAAAGCTCGACCGTATTTGGCCATATCCTGTGGGAAATTAAGGTTTTTTTCCACCTCTGCTCTCACTAACACATTTTTAGAGTGTGACATTAGCGTATTACAGTCGAGGTGATCAAGTCCCTTGTGCAGTAAACCAAAGTGCCGCGGCCGATGAAATGCCGGTCTCCCCACGTCAGCCAAGGCCTCTGTTTCTATTATGCTCATTCACAAGTTACAGGTTATTCAGGGTTAAACGTGACAGATCACTTCATTCAAATTATGACTCAGTTTGATGCAAGAATAAGTTCACACACAATGAGGGAAAAACAAAAGCCGAAAATTATAGAAAGGAAGTAGCACTCTTTTATTATTATTATTATTATTGGAAATAAGTGCGATGTACATTGTGATATTTGATGTAATGAACAAGCATGTTGGAACTGCTCTCATCTTCGCTCATCTCTTCTCCATCATGTGTGTTTTGTTCTTTCCAGTCACTGTGTCAAGAGAGTCTGTGAGCTCTAGCAGCACATGGCGTGAAAGAAACACATCATTTCATCATTACATTTAAAAAGTCAATAATTACAATATTAATCTTGTACTTGCCAAATATATGTTTTTTATATATTGTGCAACCCTAACTCCATGTGTATCATTAGTAATCAACATAGCACCAATAGAAAAAAGTGTAATGAATTCATAAGGAACATCTATCTGGCAGCTTAAACAAAAGGTGGGGAAATTACATGTTCCCCCCCCCCATAAAGTGTGGTTTTTTTTTTTATTTAAAAAGAAAAAAAAAAACCATGTTTTTTTTTTTTTTAAATATGATACCCCCCTTTTTACACCACTATTTTAGGTTGGCCCCTCCCCAAACATGTCAAAGCCGTCCCTTCCCCATCCCTATAAAACTTGCCAAAAAACCGAAAAATGATAAAATGATTTAATTGCCAAAAAATTGTATAGTTTTTTCAATTGTACACAAGCCAAACATCCCACCAAAAGGTGTTGCTTGATTTTTTCAAATAAGAAAGGCAAATAACCAAATATATTTTTCTAAACATTTAGATATTTAAATTTAGAGCCCCAAATGGCAAACTACCGCCAGAAAAGAAATGCCCCATTATTCCCTCCATTTAGGTTGGCAACGATTAATTTTGAACACAATAACAGAAGTCACAAGATATTAATAAACTGGAACAAATAAAAACAACACCCAATAAAACCCAAAAAATGAACAGGACTACATTTAACATAAAATTATAAAAAAAAAAATTAAATTGCTGTGTATGGTGTTTTTTTAGAAGCAAATGCATGTAAAATTTGTTGTGGCTTTTAACATTCTACGCATGGGGGGTGGTTCCCCCCCCCATTTTTGTTTTTATGTTTTTTCAGTGAGCCCCCTGGTGGGGGGACGATTAACACCTTTGGGGGGGCTTGGGCTTCCTTGAAAAGTATTAAGTTAATAGTGGTTGGCAAAAAAGTGCCTGGTTTCCTTGCTTTTGCTCCCTGTAGATCTAATCTATCTTTCATCAGCTATTAAGAGACACCCCGTTTACCGCTAACTCCCTCCCCACACAACACAACCGGAACAAGGGAGGAAAAGGAAAAATGAAGAGAGATAGGCGGTAAAGTATTGTCTCCTAAAGCCCTTGATTGTAATTATAAGATTAAGATTAGATAGCAAGCAGACCCAAGGCCACTGCTACCAACTATCACTTAATTACTATCCAAAGGAAGCCCCAAGCAAGTCCCATCGTCACAGCGCTCACTGGAAAACTAAACAAAAATGACACACTTTTAGATGTAAGCACACAAATACATGCATCCCTTCCCAAAAAACACACACACAGCATAATTAATGTTTTTTTATTTTTTAATGTAGGTAGTCCCCCCCCGGTTTCATTTTTTGGGTTTTTTATGTGGTCCATTTGTAAGTTTTTTATTAATTTTCTGTGGACTTTACTGTTTGTTTTTATAGTCCCCCAAATAATAGTTGGCCAACTAAATGGATGAAAATAACTGGGGCAATTATTATTTTTCTGCTTTAGTTTTTTGCATGGGCTTTGCCTACATTTAAAATAATCTAAATTGTTTTAAATATTGTTTTATTGGCCTTTTTTTTAACTAATTTGAAATAATGCAAGCAACAACTTTTGTTGGGAAAATGTATTTTTTTTGGGTGAAAAAAACAATAAAAACAAGTAATATTGCAATTAAACCATTTTTTTTCTTCCATACGTTTTTGATTTTTTTTTGCAGTTGTTTTAAAGAAATGGAAAAAAGACGGCCTTTGACATGTATGTAGGGGGCCCAACTAAATTAGGTGTTTAAAAGGGGGCAATCCTTAAATAAAAAACCATGGTTTTTTTTTTATTTTTTCTATAATAAAAACAACCTATGAAACATGGGGTAATATTTTTTTTTCCCCCACCTTTTGCTATGTGTTTTTCGTGTTATTTAGATTAGTAATAAAATCCAGTAAAATAACCTTTTTTAATATTGGCAATTCCAAGCGATGGTAACATCAGGAAAAAAAAGAACATGAAAAGCTTGAGAAATACCAAGGTCTCAGAGAGGAGCTGGAGAGGGCCTGGAGGGTAAAGGTGACAGTAGTGCCCGTGGTGAAAGGTGAGTGGACAATTTTTTTTTTAAATATATATAATTTTCCGATTTAGTCTCTTTTCCATTATTTCGATTTTTTGATGTTACAAACAGAAGCTTGAGATGATTTTTTTCATCAAATGTAATGCACCAATAATAGCTTTAAGATACCAGCCAAAAGCCTTTTTTACTGTGTTGTATTTTTGTTTGATTGTATGACTATATTTTTGACTGTGCGCACGTGTCTCCTGCAGCCCTGAACATACGTTCTAAGTTTATCAGTCCAGGTCTCAGTTCAGGTCTCAGTCCAGGCCTTGGATTCTGCAGCTGCAGATTGAAACATTGTTTCTCTTTGATGGCCCACTCTGGATCAGCCAATCAGAGTAGCCTACGGTCCCGCCCCCTGTGCACTTAGTATCACAGCCTAAAACTAAACATGTTTAAATGTGTTGTTTTAACACACACAGTACAGGAAAGGGCTTTAACACGAGTTCACCAGGAACAAGTTTCATTTGAAAACTTTGAAATGTTGTAATTGTAAAATTAATAAGTAAAAAACTATATTTTTTGAGGGAGAAAGAAACAGCTTGCAGGTGGATTTAACCAATCACAACACTGTGTATCTTAACCAATGAGAGCGCACAATGAGCCACGTTCTGTCTGAGTTCACGTGCACACGAGGACCACGCGAGGAGCACACGGCGACGAACCGGAGAGATGGCGCGTGAGAGCAGAGCCGATGCGGTAAGTACCTCTGTCTTATTTCTGTGGGTAAAGTGAGTGCTTTTCATTGTAATAACTCCGGCCAAAGTAACTTCTCCGTATCAAATCCAATGTTTTAAATACAAAACGTGGTGCTCAGCGGTAAGTTAGTTTGATGGCGGCGCGGGTCTGCGCATGGGTCTGTGTCTGGGTCTATGCGCGGGTCTGGGTCTGTGCGTGGTTCTGTGGGTCTGTGCGTGGGTCTGTGGGTCTGTGGTGGGTCTGTGGGTCTGCGCGTTGTTCTGTGGGTCTGTGCGCGGGTCTGTGTCTGTGCGCGGGTCTGTGTCTGTGCGCGGGTCTGGGTCTGTGCGCGGGTCTGGGTCTGTGCGCGGGTCTGGGCGAGGGTCTGTGGGTCTGGGTCTGTGCGTGGGTCTGTGGTTCTGATCTCTGAAACTTCGAAAAAGATGGAGGCCTTCTAAAATCAATTGCTGAATTATGAAAATTGTATGAGCAAGCGATTATTATTTTATTTATTTTTTCCCCTTGGTCTGTGAAATGCACTATATATGAATATTACTTACTTATAGAACGTGTTTTGGATTCAGGACCTCATGGAGTAATTTCCAAAAATCATTTTAAATTTATTGTAAAATTCAAATGTGTTGAAATGTATTAAACAAAATGCAGATGAATTCTAATTGTAAATCTTGCATGTTGCAGATGAGTAGCCCATCTTCAGATGCCTGGTCCAGTGATGAGTACAAGCCTCCTCTACATTATCCAGCAACGTTTCAGTATTTTCTGACACATGTGAGTCCAGACCAAAGACAAGTCCTGGTTTAGTCCTGGTTTAGACCTAGGGTAGACCTGGTTCAGACCTGGTTTAGACCTGGTTTAGACCTGGTTCAGACCTGGGGTAGTCCTGGTGTTTAGACCTAGGGTAGACCTGGTTCAGTCCTGGTTCAGTCCTGGTTTAGACCTAGGCTAGACCTGGTTTAGACCTAGGGTAGACCTGGTTTAGTCCTGGTTCAGTCCTGGTTTAGACCTAGGCTAGACATGGTTTAGACCTAGGGTAGACCTGGTTTAGTCCTGGTTCAGTCCTGGTTTAGTCCTGGTTCGGACCTGGTTCAGTCCTGGTTTAGTCCTGGTTTAGTCTTGATTCAGACCTGGTTCAGTCCTGGTTTAGTCCTGGTTCAGTCCTGGTTTAGACCTGGTTTAGACCTGGTTTAGACCTGGTTTAGTCCTGGTTTAGTCCTGGTTCAGACCTTGCTGACCCTTCTGTGTGTTCTTAGCGTGTGCTGAAGTGTCTGATGAAGAGGAGCTAGAGCCGACCTCCACAAAGGCCCAGAAAAACAAACGGACCAAGAGGACAGATGGTGAGTACAACTGATCCTGGTTTAGTCCTGGTTTAGTCCTGGTTTAGTCCTGGTTTAGACCTGGTTTAGACCTGGTTTAGACCTGGTTTAGACCTGGTTTAGACCTGGTTTAGACCTGGTTTAGACCTGGTTTAGACCTGGTTTAGTCCTGGTTCAGTCCTGGTTTAGACCTGGTTTAGTCCTGGTTCAGTCCTGGTGTTTAGACCTGGTTTAGACCTGGTTCAGTCCTGGTCCAGTCCTGGTTTAGACCTGGTTTAGACCTGGTTTAGTCCTGGTTCAGTCCTGGTGTTTAGACCTGGTTTAGACCTGGTTCAGTCCTGGTTCAGTCCTGGTGTTTAGACCTAGGGTAGACCTGGTTTAGTCCTGGTTTAGACATGGTTTAGGCCTGGTTTAGGCCTGGTTTAGACCTGGTTCAGACCTGGTTCAGTCCTGGTTTAGACCTGGTTTAGACCTAGGCTAGACCTGGTTTAGTCCTGGTTTAGTCTTGGTTCAGACCTGGTTCAGACCTGGTTCAGACCTGGTTCAGACCTGGTTCAGACCTGGTTTAGTCCTGGTTTAGTCCTGGTTTAGTCCTTGCTGACCCTTCTGTGTGTTCTTAGCGTGTGCTGAAGTGTCTGATGAAGAGGAGCTAGAGCCGACCTCCACAAAGGCCCAGAAAAACAAACGGACCAAGAGGACAGATGGTGAGTACAACTGATCCTGGTTTAGTCCTGGTTTAGTCCTGGTTTAGTCCTGGTTTAGACCTGGTTTAGACCTGGTTTAGACCTGGTTTAGACCTGGTTTAGACCTGGTTTAGTCCTGGTTCAGTCCTGGTGTTTAGACCTGGTTTAGACCTGGTTCAGTCCTGGTCCAGTCCTGGTTTAGACCTGGTTTAGACCTGGTTTAGACCTGGTTTAGACCTGGTTTAGACCTGGTTTAGACCTGGTTTAGACCTGGTTTAGACCTGGTTTAGACCTGGTTTAGACCTGGTTTAGTCCTGGTTTAGACCTGTTTTAGTTTAGTAAACCTGGTTTAGACCTGGTTTAGACCTGGTTCAGTCCTGGTTCAGTCCTGGTTTAGACCTGGTTTAGACCTGGTTTAGACCTGGTTTAGTCCTGGTTTAGACCTGTTAGACCTGTAGTTTAGACCTGGTTTAGACCTGGTTTAGACCTGGTTTAGCCTGGTGACCTAGCCTGGTTTAGACCTGGTTTAGACCTGGTTAGTCCGGTTTAGTCCTGGTTCAGTCTGGTGTTAGACCTGGTTTAGACCTGGTTCAGTCCTGGTTTAGTCCTGGTTTAGTCCTGGTTTAGTCCTGGTTTAGACCTGGTTTAGACCTGGTTTAGACCTGGTTTAGACCTGGTTTAGACCTGGTTTAGACCTGGTTTAGTCCTGGTTCAGTCCTGGTGTTTAGACCTGGTTTAGACCTGGTTCAGTCCTGGTTTAGTCCTGGTTTAGTCCTGGTTTAGTCCTGTTTCAGACCTGGTTTAGACCTGGTTTAGTCCTGGTTCAGACCTGGTTCAGTCCTGGTTTAGACCTGGTTTAGTCCTGGTTCCTGGTTCAGACCTGGTTCAGACCTGGTTTAGTCCTGGTTTAGTCCTGGTTTAGTCCTTGCTGACCCTTCTGTGTGTTCTTAGCGTGTGCTGAAGTGTCTGATGAAGAGGAGCTAGAGCCGACCTCCACAAAGGCCCAGAAAAACAAACGGACCAAGAGGACAGATGGTGAGTACAACTGATCCTGGTTTAGTCCTGGTTTAGTCCTGGTTTAGTTTAGACCTGGTTTAGACCTGGTTTAGACCTGGTTCAGTCCTGGTTCAGACCTGGTTTAGTCCTGGTTTAGTCCTGGTTTAGTCCTTGTTTAGTCCTGGTTCAGTCCTGGTTTAGTCCTGGTTTAGACCTGGTTCAGTCCTGGTTTAGTCCTGGTTCAGTCCTGGTTTAGTCCTGGTTCAGTCCTGGTTCAGTCCTGTTTCAGTCCTGGTTTAGACCTGGTTCAGTCCTGGTTCAGTCCTGGTTTAGTCCTGGTTTAGTCCTGGTTTAGTCCTGGTTTAGTCCTGGTTTAGTCCAGACCTGGTTTAGACCTGGTTTAGACCTGGTTTAGACCTGGTTTAGACCTGGTTTAGTCCTGGTTCAGTCCTGGTGTTTAGACCTGGTTTAGACCTGGTTCAGTCCTGGTTCAGTCCTGGTGTTTAGACCTAGGGTAGACCTGGTTTAGTCCTGGTTTAGACATGGTTTAGGCCTGGTTTAGGCCTGGTTTAGACCTGGTTTAGACCTGGTTCAGACCTGGTTCAGTCCTGGTTTAGACCTGGTTTAGACCTAGGCTAGACCTGGTTTAGTCCTGGTTTAGTCTTGGTTCAGACCTGGTTCAGACCTGGTTCAGACCTGGTTTAGTCCTGGTTTAGTCCTGGTTTAGTCCTTGCTGACCCTTCTGTGTGTTCTTAGCGTGTGCTGAAGTGTCTGATGAAGAGGAGCTAGAGCCGACCTCCACAAAGGCCCAGAAAAACAAACGGACCAAGAGGACAGATGGTGAGTACAACTGATCCTGGTTTAGTCCTGGTTTAGTCCTGGTTTAGTCCTGGTTTAGTCCTGGTTTAGACCTGGTTTAGACCTGGTTTAGACCTGGTTTAGACCTGGTTTAGACCTGGTTTAGACCTGGTTTAGACCTGGTTTAGACCTGGTTTAGACCTGGTTTAGTCCTGGTTCAGTCCTGGTGTTTAGACCTGGTTTAGACCTGGTTCAGTCCTGGTTCAGTCCTGGTTTAGACCTGGTTTAGACCTGGTTTAGACCTGGTTTAGACCTGGTTTAGTCCTGGTTCAGTCCTGGTTTAGACCTGGTTTAGACCTGGTTCAGTCCTGGTTTAGTCCTGGTTTAGACCTGGTTTAGACCTGGTTTAGTCCTGGTTTAGTCCTGGTTTAGTCCTGGTTTAGACCTGGTTTAGACCTGGTTTAGTCCTGGTTTAGACCTGGTTTAGACCTGGTTTAGACCTGGTTTAGACCTGGTTTAGTCCTGGTTTAGACCTGGTTCAGTCCTGGTTTAGTCCTGGTTTAGACCTGGTTTAGACCTGGTTCAGTCCTGGTTCAGTCCTGGTTTAGACCTGGTTTAGACCTGGTTTAGACCTGGTTTAGACCTGGTTTAGACCTGGTTTAGACCTGGTTTAGACCTGGTTTAGACCTGGTTTAGACCTGGTTTAGACCTGGTTTAGACCTGGTTTAGTCCTGGTTCAGTCCTGGTGTTTAGACCTGGTTTAGACCTGGTTCAGTCCTGTTTCAGTCCTGGTGTTTAGACCTAGGGTTAGACCTGGTTTAGTCCTGGTTTAGACCTGGTTTAGACCTGGTTTAGTCCTGGTTTAGTCCTGGTTCAGACCTGGTTCAGTCCTGGTTTAGTCCTGGTTCAGTCCTGGTTCAGACCTGGTTTAGTCCTGGTTTAGTCCTGGTTTAGTCCTTGCTGACCCTTCTGTGTGTTCTTAGCGTGTGCTGAAGTGTCTGATGAAGAGGAGCTAGAGCCGACCTCCACAAAGGCCCAGAAAAACAAACGGACCAAGAGGACAGATGGTGAGTACAACTGATCCTGGTTTAGTCCTGGTTTAGTCCTGGTTTAGTCCTGGTTTAGACCTGGTTTAGTCCTGGTTTAGACCTGGTTTAGACCTGGTTTAGACCTGGTTTAGACCTGGTTTAGACCTGGTTAGACCTGGTTTCAGTCCTGGTTTAGACCTGGTTTAGACCTGGTTCAGTCCTGGTTCAGTCCTGGTTTAGACCTGGTTTAGACCTGGTTTAGACCTGGTTTAGACCTGGTTTAGACCTGGTTCAGTCCTGGTTTAGACCTGGTTTAGACCTGGTTCAGTCCTGGTTTAGACCTGGTTTAGGCCTGGTTTAGGCCTGGTTTAGGCCTGGTTTAGACCTGGTTCAGTCCTGGTTCAGTCCTGGTTTAGACCTGGTTTAGACCTAGGCTAGACCTGGTTTAGACCTGGTTTAGTCCTGGTTTAGTCTTGGTTCAGACCTGGTTCAGACCTGGTTTAGTCCTGGTTTAGACCTGGTTTAGACCTGGTTTAGACCTGGTTTAGACCTGGTTCAGTCCTGGTTCAGTCCTGGTTTAGACCTGGTTTAGACCTGGTTTAGACCTGGTTTAGACCTGGTTTAGACCTGGTTTAGACCTGGTTTAGTCCTGGTTCAGTCCTGGTGTTTAGACCTGGTTTAGACCTGGTTCAGTCCTGGTTCAGTCCTGGTGTTTAGACCTAGGGTAGACCTGGTTTAGTCCTGGTTTAGACATGGTTTAGGCCTGGTTTAGGCCTGGTTTAGGCCTGGTTTAGACCTGGTTCAGTCCTGGTTCAGTCCTGGTTTAGACCTAGGCTAGACCTGGTTTAGACCTGGTTTAGTCCTGGTTTAGTCCTTGCTGACCCTTCTGTGTGTTCTTAGCGTGTGCTGAAGTGTCTGATGAAGAGGAGCTAGAGCCGACCTCCACAAAGGCCCAGAAAACAAACGGACCAAGAGGACAGATGGTGAGTACAACTGATCCTGGTTTAGTCCTGGTTTAGTCCTGGTTTAGTCCTGGTTTAGTCCTGGTTTAGTCCTGGTTTAGTCCTGGTTTAGACCTGGTTTAGACCTGGTTTAGACCTGGTTTAGACCTGGTTTAGACCTGGTTTAGACCTGGTTTAGACCTGGTTTAGACCTGGTTCAGTCCTGGTGTTTAGACCTGGACCTGGTTCAGTCCTGGTTCAGTCCTGGTTCAGTCCTGGTGTTTAGACCTAGGGTAGACCTGGTTTAGTCCTGGTTTAGTCCTGGTTTAGTCTTGGTTCAGACCTGGTTCAGACCTGGTTCAGACCTGGTTCAGACCTGGTTCAGACCTGGTTTAGTCCTGGTTTAGTCCTGTTTCAGTCCTTTTTTAGACCTGGTTTAGACCTGGTTTAGTCCTGGTTTAGTCCTGGTTCAGACCTGGTTCAGACCTGGTTTAGTCCTGGTTCAGACCTGGTTTAGTCCTGGTTTAGTCCTGGTTTAGTCCTGGTTTAGTCCTGGTTCAGACCTGGTTCAGTCCTGGTTTAGTCCTGGTTTAGTCCTGGTTCAGTCCTGGTTTAGTCCTTGCTGACCCTTCTGTGTGTTCTTAGCGTGTGCTGAAGTGTCTGATGAAGAGGAGCTAGAGCCGACCTCCACAAAGGCCCAGAAAAACAAACTGACCAAGAGGACAGATGGTGAGTACAACTGATCCTGGTTTAGTCCTGGTTTAGACGTGGTTTAGACGTGGTTTAGACCTGGTTTAGGCCTGGTTCAGGCCTGGTTCAGTCCTGGTTCAGTCCTGGTTCAGTCCTGGTTCAGTCCTGGTTCAGTCCTTGTTTAGTCCTGGTTCAGTCCTGGTTTAGTCCTGGTTCAGTCCTGGTTCAGTCCTGTTTCAGTCCTGGTTTAGACCTGGTTCAGTCCTGGTTCAGTCCTGGTTTAGTCCTGGTTTAGTCCTGTTTCAGACCTGGTTTAGGCCTGGTTTAGTCCTGGTTTAGGCCTGGTTTAGGCCTGGTTTAGTCCTGGTTCAGTCCTGGTTCAGTCCTGGTTTAGACCTGGTTTAGACCTGGTTTAGACCTGGTTTAGACCTGGTTTAGACCTGGTTTAGACCTGGTTTAGACCTGGTTTAGACCTGGTTTAGACCTGGTGTTTAGACCTGGTTTAGACCTGGTTCAGTCCTGTTTCAGTCCTGGGGTAGTCCTGGTGTTTAGACCTAGGGTAGACCTGGTTTAGTCCTGGTTCAGTCCTGGTTTAGACCTGGTCCAGACCTGGTCATCAGGATAAACATGTCTTTATGTGTCTTATTGTCTCCATCAGAAGCTTCTAGAAACCCAAAGAAACCCTGGAGTGAGGAGGAGAGCCGTGGAGAAGAGGATGGAGAAGTACCTGGCTCTGTGTGCTGTGCCTCACACAGGAGTCTGCAGCCCTCATCAACAGAACCTGGAAGGACCTCAAGTACTTTGTGTATAATAGTATTATCCGACTCAAGAGGCAGCTTGTGTAGCTGGTATTTGTGTCAAACTCATTCCCAAAGCGCCGCAGTGGCTGCAGGTTTTCCATCAGACCAAGCAGGAGCAGAGCAGACTCCTCCCATTTCCTCAGTGAGTTCAGTCTTAACCTGAAGGTTTGAGGAAATGGGAGGAGTCTGCTCTGCTCCTGCTTGGTCTGATGGAAAACCTGCAGCCACTGCGGCGCTTTAGGAATGAGTTTGACCGCCCTGCTTTAATGTTAAGTGCAGTTATGTTTTAAAGTCCCGTTCAAGAGCACTTTGTATTAGGTCCTTTGTAATTGTCCTGTTGGGACAAGTCAAAATACAAAGATGCAAATAAACCTGTCTTTCAAATGTTTTGCTTTGTTTTATTAAAATTGCTGTGATCCCACATAATAATCTGTGTCCATTTGCACATGTGACCAGTGATGGGAATAACGGCGTTACTAGTAACGGCGTTACTAACGCCGTTACTTTTTTCAGTAACGAGTAATCTAACTAATTACTTTGACAGTAACTATAACGCCGTTATCATTTCCGACATCCCGTTACTGCGCGTTACTCAAGACGCACAATGAACGTGTTGTCATGAGAGAAGGGAGGATGAGAAAACCTCTCAGCAATTATTGGCTGATGTAAATCATATTTCCTTTACAATCTACATGTCTACAGTTGAGAGGATGGCTCATAAATTGTGTTTTTGAAACAAATATGGGTCTTAGTCGCGCTCAACCACGGCTTGTATCACCGTGAGGTCAGCCACAGAGGAGCGCATGTGAGCGCAGAAGTCGGCTGCATACAATTCCATCGATAAGCTCCTTGCTCTTCCTGGTTTATCTGCTAAGGACAGCAACAGGTTTGGCTAACATACATATAACACATTTTTACATAATCTAAAATGCACATAGGGTAATTTTTCAATTACTATAGGAATGATAAGAAAGAGAGGTGAAGTGTTAGACGGTTGATTTTAGAAATTGGATGCAGCCGGCTGCAGCAAAACAGAGGAGTTTACGGAGGACACACGCGTTTTGTTTTACTTTTTAAAACTCATTGGACTCATTTCCAAATGGAGGATTACATATCTACGCTCAAACCATTCACTGGATTTAAACAAGGAACTGGTCTGAACCGAAGTGGACTGTGCAGGTCATTTATAAGGTATAGCTATAAGGTAAGACCCATAACTCATAGTTTTGCGTTTTGTATGAACAAACAATGCGGGCATAAAACATATTTTGCTGTAGCCAAACAAATTGTCCACTTGATTTATATGATGTATATGTTCATCTGATTGGACTGAAGTCAGTGCTTCACCAGCCTCACCGCTCGTCACCGGTGTTTCCACATGCAGTGGCGGGCTTTACAGCACAGTGAGAGATGAAGAGTGAACAGGACTTCAGCAGCAAAACAGCCTTTTCTAGATGGAAATATTGGCACTGTTAAAGGTAAAAATGCGCACGTCGGGTGCACATTATGTTCCAGAACAAAACGAAAAAGTAACGCAATAGTTACTTTTACTGGTAACTAGTTACTTTTATAGTGGAGTAACTCCGTTAGTAACTCAGTTACTTTTTGGGAGAAGTAACTAATAACTATAACTAATTACTTTTTCAAAGTAACGTGCCCAACACTGCATGTGACCAACTATATAATTCTAAATAAACCTTCAAAGAGTTAAAAAAAGGTCTATTCATGATTTCTTTTGCAAATTTCACTTATTGTCCCCACTCTGATGGTTCAAAACGTTTTCTTAAATCTTGGTTCTAAAATTTTTTCAATGGAGTGTATAGCTCCGCAGCGCCATCAAGTGTCTAGAAAGTGTTTTTTCTTCCTCCTAAAACATTGGGAAAGGCAAGTCCTCAGTTTTCATGTTTTTAACTACGACCTCACTAGTGTTTGCGGGAATGTGTGTGTTTGTGTGTGTGTTCTGGCGAATAGAGACTGATTGTTGAATGTCTGAAGTGTTATTGCAATAGCACCACACTGAGAGCGAGGGTCAGGGCAGATAGTAACATGTGTGCACGTGTGTGTGTGCGCGCCCCGGACACGAGTGCACACACACACACACTTCAGCAACGAGCGTACGAGCGCTGAGAAATGAATGAATGAGAATGAAAAGTGTGGAGCAAAGTGATCGGAGGCAGGGAAGTTACAAGAGTGTGTGTGTGTTCTGGTGATTAAATAAAGACTGATTCTTTAATGTCTGAAGTGTTACTGCGATAGCACCACTGAGAGCAGGGTCAGGACAGAGGGAGTTATACTCGTAGGAAACGCTTTTCTTTGGCCTTGCAGCCACACACTCCCTGTGCCCCTCGGTCTGGGGCTTATATGAAAGGTTTAACAGAAGCGGAGAATATAATAAAGTGCAGGAGAGACGTGTGTGTGAAAATGCGTGTCACAGGAAGACGTGTAATGTGACGCAAGATAATCAGATATTAGGACCGACATCACACACATCAGGTCTGAGTGAGATATTAGGACCTATAACACACACATCAGGTCTGAGTGAGATATTAGGACCTATAACACACACATCAGGTCTGAGTGAGATATTAGGACCTATAACACACACATCAGGTCTGAGTGAGATATCAGGACCTACAACACACACATCAGGTCTGAGTGAGATATCAGGACCTACAACACACACATCAGGTCTGAGTGAGATATTAGGACCTACAACACACACATCAGGTCTGAGTGAGATAATAGGACCTACAACACACACATCAGGTCTGAGTGAGATATTAGGACCTATAACACACACATCAGGTCTGAGTGAGATATCAGGACCTGCAACACACACATCAGGTCTGAGTGAGATATTAGGACCTACAACACACACATCAGTTCTGAGTGAGATTTTAGGACCTACAACACACACATCAGGTCTGAGTGAGATATTAGGACCTACAACACACACATCAGGTCTGAGTGAGATATTAGGACCTACAACACACACATCAGGTCTGAGTGACATATTAGGACCTACAGTATAACAAGCACTTCAGGTCTGAGTGAAATATTTATCAATCGTTACTCCTTTCACGGAGAGTAACTCTGTAGATGGACAAATACATTATAACTTTAATGTAGAATTATTTATTTTTATACATTGTGTTTGTAATTTTTGACACCTCACTTTTATATTTGTTTTTGATGTTTTAAATTCTAATTTAAACATGATTTTCCAACTGGAGTTAAGACAATTTTTCAGGGAGATAATCTACTGACACAAGGAGAATATGCAAGCTCCACTCCAAAAGGCCCCTTCTGGCTGAAAGTTTTTTTCTTTACTTTTTTTTTACAAACACACACTCACTACTCAAGTATCTTTTTAAATTACCATGAGTCAATATTTTGGCTATTCTACCCACCTCTGGGAATGTATTTAAGTTTGTGACAAAATAGGTGACATATGAGGACAAGTGTGTGTGTGTTAAAAGTGTGTTAAGGTAGTACCGTGCACGACCAGAGAGGCGCTTCAAACTTTTTGGGACGGAGTGTTTCGGCCCCGACACACATTTTCACTATTTGTAGACATTTTGGGACATGCTTGATTTTTGGTGTGGAGCTTGTTCTGGGCCTCTACAACACTGTAGTATGCATGGAAAAATGGGGACCTGAAAAAAGTCCTCACATTTCCTCAGGTCCTGATATTGAAGGTGTGTTATCATACAAAAGTCCTCATATGTCCACAAAACAAACACACACACACACACACACACACACACACATATGCACAGAGGATAGGGGGAAATGACAGGTGCTGACAAGGCCCATGGAGAACTTCAGCTTCTCTCTGTCAGTGCAGAAAGCTACACCTGCTCCCAGTCTTGGCTTTTTCACTATACAACACAGACATTATCCTTCTATACTGTACATGTACTGTATTACCTGCAGTAGAATATACAATGTTTTATATTTGCTGCTTATTATGCTAAAGTCAGGGGTTTTTGTACTAAAGTTGGACATTTTAGACTTTCTTTATTATTTATTTATTATTGTCCTAAATGATTGTGCTATTTTGCTTGTTGTGCTAAATATAGAGATTTTATACTGCTTCTTTTTATGCTAGAGTTTATATTTTATTTTATTTTATTTTAGTGTAGAAATATTATTCATCTTGTGCTGTGTGTTCCTCATTTCTACTGTTCTGTAACACTGAAATTTCCCCGCTGTGGAAGGGACTAAGAACTCTTAATTTTAATCTTAATCTATTGCAACATTATTTTACTCGCAGAGGAAGCACTCGGTGGAAACTACTCCGGTCAAGGCAACTTCATCTCCATGGAGACGCCTTGTCAGCAGGGGACACTCACCAGCAAAGTCCCCCACACTTATTCCACTCGGGGCTGGCTCATTCTAAAGCTGTAAATTGCACTCCTTTTCTTTGGCTGTCTCACACTTGGACACCCACCCTGACACGTGCGCTGGTCCTGGCTCAGCTCCAGTCCGCGGGGACAGTGACACCGGTGGCGGTCCTGCAGCGCGGAGCAGTCGTGAGTGCAGCCTCCGTTGTTAACATGACAACCCGCCGTCTCTGTTATGAAAACGTGTGATTACGAATAAAGCCGTGACATTATGATCTGCAGTGGCTTCATTAAGAGTCGCACCTTCGCAGTGGAGTCCATCCTCCGCCAGCACGCGCCCGGCGTCGCACTCGCAGCGACGAGAGCCCTTCGTGTTGATGCACCTCTCAGAGCAGCCACCGTTCCGCTCCTCGCACTCGTTCACATCTGTGGAGACCGAAACCCAGGTCCAATGAAATAGAACATGTTTGAATCAGATTTGTGTTTTCCCCAGCTGTTTTCATACTGTTGTTGTGTCTTTGAGCAACACACTTCATCCAACTCACCAGCTCTGAACTTTTGTTGTGTGTGTAAGTAATGCCTGGTGTGAATGAATCAAAACTGTTAGCTGCTATGTACAATTTGTCTCATATCAGTATTATGTAATCCTGCTAAAAAAAAACAATTATAAATTCCTTTTTGTTCTTCTTATCAGAATCCCAGAATCAGAATCAGAATCAGAATCATTTTTATTGCCACGTGAGTAACAAAGTTATCACTTGGAAATTGTCTTGGCAGAGAGCGTGCCACTTCGCCATTTGCGGCGCTGTGTGCAGCAAGAAACAGCAGAGAGCAATAACATACAGTTCACAGACAATTGGATAGACACATTGTGCTTTTTATAAACCACGGATTTTTTTCTCGGGATGAGCACCTCCGGCGGCCGGCCCAACGTAGCTGTCAGAGGGGGGCGGGATCAGGGAGGGGGTGAGTAGGAAAACAATAAGGAATGGAGGGGAGGGAGGGAGCAAGATGGATAGGTAGAGGGAGGCGGGGGTGAGGGATCCTTGCTGGAGACTGAAATAGTGTGAGTTGTTGTAGATTGTGGGACCTTGTTTATGGCTTTGGTCGAGGAATGTGAGATAAGAGTGGAGAGAAGACACAGCAGGAGAAAAACACATCGCCTGAGAGGGACAATAAGCAGGCAGATATTCTATTAATTCCAATTAAACCGAATTACGGCGCCCTCAGACCTCCGTACACAGGGGCAAATCCAAGCCAGGTCAGAGAGTTCAAGCCTGACAAACAATGTCATTCAATCTCAATTCCAGAGTTTTATGCCCATCGAGTGAACGAGCTGCGAGATCTTTGATCAACTGTTCCACTAAAACCACTCTCCTTTGTCCAGACACGGCACTCTCAACCACGACACGGCTTAGCTCCTTGTACATCCCATCAATTTTGTCGGCCAGCAGGTCGTGAATCTTGCGAACTGCCATGCCTCCGAATTTGTGGTAGAACAGGATCGCTCCAAACCCAAACAGGAGGATTCCCACCACCAAAATGCCAAAGATATATACGTCTTCCGAATCTTCAATGGACAGGGTCGACAGACAGAGGGGCTGAAACTTGTTCCAGCTGTCAAGAGTATACCCCGCAGGTGAAGTCCCGTCCGGGCACACGGGCTCTCCAGACCCACGCTTACGTGTTGAAAAGATAGAATCAATTGCGTTGAGGGACCAGTTAATCATTTCCATTCTGTTAAGTTGTCTGTGGCAAAACTCCAGGAAAAATTCTTATACAGTACTGGTTAAAAAAAACTGTAAATAACAATTTTGTTCAAAAGTTTGATTGTTTTTTTCAATTCAACCTAAAATGTGAAACAAATATATTGGATACGAACTCCTTACATGCAGCGACATAAGTGACATATGTGAGGCCTTTATTTGTTTTTGATGATTATGGCTCACATAATTTGGTTTTTTTACAAGCTGTGAGACAATTCCAGACCAGACAGGACCAGAATCAGAATTTTTCTCAGTGCCATTGTAAGTAACCGGAAGTCCCAAACTAGGAAACTATTATATACTGTATTAGTTTCATGTTGTAAGTTGAATTACATAAGTAAATTCAACTTTTCCCAGTCTCACCTGTATAATTATTGTATTATTCTACAGCAATGATTTGCCAATTTGTCGTGCACAGATTGGTTGGGAGGGAATCAAATAGTTAGTCTCAGTCCTTGAATTGGAGAGGCATTTTGACTTCTTCCCTCAATGAAGAAGGAAGAATTAGGTTCCGATTAAACTACAAAAATAACCTCAAGGATCATCTAAAGCAAATTTATGGGTGAGGTAAAATGAGTGTTAGAGCGAGGAGGTGGAGAGATAGGGCCAGTAAATTGCGTGACAGGCTGAGCTGATGAGTGAAGAATGGAATAATGGCATTTTTCAGGCTGGATGGCTCCGCGCTGCCCTGCTGTCACCCATCATTAGGCAAACAAGCTCTGGCCCGCAATGCACACAGGACTCAGACAACACAATGCAAAAAATATACAAATAGATCGGGTATTATCGGTATTGAAGGTCAGGGTTAATCGGAAGCTTGAAACTTTTGGAATTGGAAGGAAAAGTGTTCTGTGAGTGGCATACAGATTATACAATATATCCACAGTATCATTATCATAACAGCTTGGATGTATGTGTATCATCAGATAGCTACACACTCTGTAAAACAATGTCTGTGATTGGAACCGCTAATTTTGGTCTGATGTAATTCACTTTGTTTCGATTGTGAGTTTGAACAATGATGGATGCATGAATACACGCCGAGGAAATGAAATGACACTGATATGAATTATGCTTCTGCTGCTACAATAGTGTTCCCACTGACGACCGTAATCACATTTGTGTTCCCAGAATGCATTTGGTATGAAGCGTGGACCATTTGTCTTATCTGTCTCCACTCGCCGCCTCGTTGTGTGCTCCTCACCGAGGCATGTTTGTCTGTCCGGTCCCAGGACGGTCCCGGCAGCACACAGACACTGGGGCCTGGGGCAGAGGGGGGCCGTGCACTCCTCCTCATCACAGATATCATAGAAGTCTGCAACAAGACGGGTAAGAAGAACTGTGTATAACTTCCAACCAGCTGTTAGCAAATACAGTGCAATACAAAGGCATATAATTTCTACAGAATATGATACAAATGAGAAGGTTTATCCAAATTACAGCAGCAGTGATCTTAACAGGAACTAAATGGAGGGAACTTATAACTGTGGTCTTGCCATAAATGGTGTGGCCCCTTCTACCTCCAAGACACAGTAGTATCATATCAACCAAACCGAGCACTGCTGTCTCAAAACACCAGATTTATAGTGGTTCCCGAAGTGTCAGAAAGCACAGTAGGAGGCAGTTTAGAGACCATACTGTGGACAGTCTCCACAGTTTCTACTGCATATGGTTGGGTAGGTAAGACTCAGGTAAGACTTAGAAATACAAACTCTAAAAACACAGATTGTCAGTCAAGCCACTTTGCTGGCAGGAGTATGGTAACTTGAGTACTAACTACTTTTTTGTCGTCATTATAATTTCAGCTGCAGTCTCTTCATTGCTATTCCCCTGCTGTCTCACTGTCTGTTTCATGGCAGGATGATGAACCTGACCTCTTTTACCTGCACCTTTGAACTGGTCTCCCTCGGCCAGACATTCCACAAAGGTTCTACATTGAATTTTTTTGTATTCATAAATAATGATTTTCTTATAGGCCTCCTATATGAATTACTTTAAATAGTCCGAACAATAACAGTGGAGTGAATGCACCAGTTGTTGTAAGTATCTAAACTTTCTGTTAGGGGTCTGGCCTATATTCATCTGTGTCTGCCATGTGTAAAGGGTGTATAAAGAATATTTAGAGGCATGGGGTTATACTTACGTCCGCAGTAGGCGTGGAAGCAGATGGAGGGCTTGGGCAGCTTGTACACAAAGTACCCCGCAGCACAGGCCTTGACCTCCACAGGAGCGCTCCAGCGGCAGCAGTCTCCGTTGAAGCTGGCGCACACAGACATGCGCACCACGCCATCCTGCAGCTCAGGGTGACTGCCGTTCAGCCAGATGGGGGCGTGGGTGCCACAGTGGTTCTCGGAGACACAGAAGGTGGGCATGGCGTCTCCAGCCATCCCAGTGAAGCGGTACCACTCCCCCGACACATGGGAGTCACACAGGGGGCTGTTGGACTGGTTCACATGGTACTCTGTGCTCCTCCAGGGCTCGTTCAGACTGATGTAGGCGGAGCAGGGGTCCAGCTCGGAGCCTATTAGCAGTAATAAAGCTTTAAAGCATGTTTTAAATGATGAAGATGAGTTTTGTAGTCATTGTAATTGTTACCAGATACGTAGTTAACTCTGCAATGGCCCAGGGCTCCGGGCTAAAAAGGGCCCCACAAAATTCACTTTACTAACAAGACTGAAAACTTGAAAACTGTTTTTTTAACACTGTTTACTCAAACAAATATGAAGTCAGAAACAGAATTCACCTGTTTCTTTATATAACTTTTTACCATTCCTCTTTGGGGCGGGTTTGCTTTTTGCTTGGGTTCAACCAAATGTTTTTGTTTTGCCTTTAAACTTTAAACTGGTCATTCAACTTTCCTTTAATATTGACATCTTTATCGATATGTGATATCACCAGGCTAAGTTTTAAGTTGTAATTGTGGAAAGGTAAGACTTCTCACAGGGCGGCATTTCAAGCAAAGCAAAAGCAAATCTATCACAAGAAGCAGTAGAGGAATGAACTCTTAAACATGCATCTAAAGGGTCCTCAGAGCACATCTCCACCAGAGTGAGTCCAGATGGATCGCTGATTGCACAGTAGACAGTTTAATTTAATGTGATTGTCAGCAAAAATCAACTATATTTATATTTTAATTTGCATTCTCCGTAAGATAAAATCATCATTATTAAACACAACATTGTGTGCCAGGAGCTGCTCTAAATCCAATCCAGAACAGCGCACTTACCTAATCTCTTTGGCATTTTTCAATTTGTTTCTTTTGGAGGTTTGTTTACAGACATAATTACGCATCAAAAGCTATTTTATTCATGGCTTTAATTTTGTGGGTGCTGTTTTCTCACCTTGAATTACCTCCACAACAATACAGTCCATTCACATCAGCCCCAAGCCTCTTGTTTTCAATTGCCTTTGATTGTCCTGCACTTTTGTTCACTTCAGCTAATGGTCATTCTGCCTCTGAACGGGGAAAGACTGTATTTAAACCAATCTTTGTTGTGTCACTTCAAATTGCACTAAAAGCTGTTGATGCTGTTCACAAATGACTACATGCTCGACCAGATTTGACAGAGGCCACTCTTTAACTAAAAGTAGAATAAAGAAGCAGACGCCACAGAAGAAACAGAAAGTGACGGGCTGAGCATTTCAAACAGATCTACTGCAGACGCAAATGTGTGTTTGGCTTAAACGAAGAATATAATGGCCAAGGGGAGATTTACAGGGTAAAAGTAGTAACAGCTTAGACTAGTGACAGGGAGGAATATGAAAAGATTAAAAGTAATTTGGGATCAAAGGTTCTAATTATCTGCAACATTTCTCAGATTTCTGTGAAGCCCTTAAAGTTGTAGCACCCAAGTTATTTTCATTATACATGTTGTTTGTCTCTGCAGAAAGATGCTGTCTTCGGTCCATTATCTTTTGCAAATTTTTAAGCAAGAGTCCTGTGAGTCAGTATTTATTTATTTTTTTGCCAAAAGTTGATTGGCCGAGTGAGGGTGGCCTTCTTTTCTTTTTCATTTTCCATTTTTGTGGTTTTAAAGTTTGGTCCCTCAGCTTTACATTTTTGTCCAATGTTTACATTGATTGGGTCCTGACGAGGAAAAATAGATAAATATATCAATAAAAAATATGTATAAATTTAAAAAGATATATAAATAACAGCGTCTATTAAAATCTCTAGTGTTATTAGATTCATGAAGTTCATGGAAATCAGTGAAATAGATGTAAAGTGACCTAAAATACAGTGCCTTGCGAACCTTTCAAAATTTCGCTACATTTCAGGCTTCAAACATAAAGATATAAAATTTGAATTTTTTGTCAAGAATCAACAACAAGTGGGACACAATCGTGAAGTGGAACGAAATGTATTGGATAATTTAAACTTTTTTAACAAATAAAAAACTGAAAAGTGGGGCGTGCAATATTATTCGGCCCCTTTACTTTCAGTGCAGCAAACTCAGTCCAGAAGTTCAGTGAGGATCTTTGAATGATCCAATGTTGTCCTAAATGACTGATGATGATAAATAGAATGCACCTGTGTGTAATCAAGTCTCCGTATAAATGCACCTGCTCTTTGATAGTCTCAGGGTTCTGTTTAAAGCGCAGAGAGAACCATGAAGACAAAGGAACACACCAGGCAGGTCCGAGATACTGTTGTGGAGAAGTTTAAAGCCGGATTTGGAGACAAAACGATATCCCAAGCTTTAAACATCTCAAGGAGCACTGTGCAAGCAATTATATTGAAATGGAAGGAGTATCAGACCACTGCAAATCTACCAAGACCCGGCCGTCCCTCCAAACTTTCATCTCAAACAAGGAGAAGACTGATCAGAGATGTAGCCAAGAGGCCCATGATCACTCTGGATGAACTGCAGATAACTACAGTTTATTATTTGTTAAAAAAGTTTAAATCATCCAATAAATTTCGTTCCACTTCACGATTGTGTCCCACTTGTTGTTGATTCATGACAAAAAATTCAAATTTTATATCTTTATGTTTGAAGCCTGAAATGCGGCAAAATGTTGAAAGGTTCAAGGGGGCCAAATACTTTCGCAAGGCCCTGTATAGATTACATTTTGGCATTCTTGTAGCCGTCTTGTAACTCTGGGCCCTATGCGGCTGCTTAAAGAGGCCAGTAGAGGTGAGAATCAAAAGCTGTGGTATTGATTACCAAACAAACTTCCCCTAGATCTGAAATTAGCATTGTACATTGCCACTTCAGGAAATAACTCTCAACACATTTACTACCACATTTTTTTACCCTGAAATTTGATTTGATTTGTGAAACAACCAGGGAACTGTGTGTGGGAAGCCAGGTCGCTGTATAGATATAGAAAGTGTACTGGAATCACAAGCTCATATGCAATTTTTCTACTTTAGCACCTAAAGTCTTAACACTATTCCATTATGTTGTTTATTTTTGAGCCTACCCCAAGCCTGGTTTAAAATGCACTCACATAGCAATCTAAAATTGTATTGGATACTCATGAAGCTAATACGTTACAGATGATGCACTACAGTAGACGGTAGAGTGTGTACAGTAGTGCTAAGGCCCAGAGGACAGGGCTGGGCAGACAGACTGTAAATGTGTGTGGAGCCGTAGTGGTGCACGAGCAGGGGCCAGCGCTGACTCATGATGCTCTATGCTAATGTGATGTTAAATCTTCCAGATGGGACCGAGCTGCAGTCTGAGGGGAAAGTGAGGTGTGACCAGTCAGAAAATGCATTATATGTGTGTTTTAGTACCATTCATCAAATTTCAACCAACGTTTCTTCACATTGTATACCATACTATTCAACTGTGGGTAGGAAAACAGCAATTTCTTCATTTTTCAATATATACCTCACATATCAGAAAACAGAAAAAGCCCCAAATTTCATTTTTTATTTGGGATGTCAGAAACAAAAATAGAATGAACGCAAGGTACACGGTAGGGATATAGTTAATAGGTTTTTATTTAGTTATTGATTATAGGGGAACAAGTGTACACACAAGTGGTCTGTTTTTCTAGTTTGTACCATAGACTGTAAATATTTGTACAGGCATTGGCAATAAACATATAGTGCCCTGTAGTAGTGGTAGTTATGACAGTGGTAGTAGCAGTAGTAATAGTATTTTCAGAACTTATTATGAAAGCTCACCAGACAGCCTGATGCATTCTTCACTACTAACCATAATGTTTTAGTTATAGGTAGGGCTGAAAAGAAAGTCATGTGACCACTAGACTCTTAACTTTCCCCTGTGCCTGTATTGTATTGTATTGTATGTTGTCATTTTCCATGTATTTTCCTGCCTTGGGACTATATGGATGAAAACTAGCTTGGTAGCTATAATCCAGCATATTTACATTTGTTTTATACTGATTAATGTGCATTGTCCCTATTGCATACAGTAAATACATAAATATTTTAGTTCACTCCTCGTTAAAGACTTTCAATTGTCGTTCTTTAAAAGCTGAAACAAAGGCATTCGAGCAGAGCCACTGATGCAGACAACGGCCACATATGAGAGAGTGGACCCATGGGACCAGATGACAAATGATTGAAGATTGTATGAAGCTTTTGTGCAATTAAATACGGCAGAAGGACTTACCCACAGCTGGAGCTATCAAAACTTTCTGAACCAGAAGTGAAAGGGGTAGAAGAAGAAACATGTTGTCAGTAAAATCCAAAGTTAGAATGTGAACTTCCACACTAAAAAAAAAGTCTTATATACTGTAGTGGAGTCTTATCACGTCTTACCTTGACCTCGTTATACGTGCCGATTCCTGAAACTGGAGCATCCTCTCATTGTTCTGTCTCCTCTGTGAGTGGTTAACTTCAATAGACTGTCTTTATTACAGCACAAACAGCAGCACTATCCCAGAAATAAACTACACAATAAATAATGTGATGTCTCTGTATAATTCACAATAAGTGCCTCACAGAACTTTATTATTCAACCTAAAACTGTCGGATAGTACTGCCAATGTATGTCAATGTCATGGGGCTTTGGTGCTTCCCGTCTGGCTGCTATAACTCATTTTAAAGCTAATATCAGTTGGTAGTGCGGTTGACTGTAAAAACATTGTATTTCACTCCATGAACAAAAAAACCCGTCTGTAAATCACTCAACAAAACTGCCACCAATTCCAAGCATCAAACAAACCTTCCACAAATAAAATATTGAATACGTGTCCAAGTTTCTGTCCTTCTCATCAAAATAATCCTACATCCGACCCATCAGAATAATCAAGGCATTAAGTGACAAACTCTAAAATTCCAAAACACATTAGCACCAAACCCTTGTTTATTTGTGTAATGCCTTTTAATATGCATTATAGAAATCGGCCATCAGCCAATCAAAACCCACATCGAGTTGACCTCTTGTCATATGCCACTTTTGCATCACATTCATTGCCAGATAAATTCCTCTTCAATATAAATCTTGAGTTCGAATTGTAATGTTTTTTTGGCGCTGAAAGTAGTTAATGTCTTCTAACAGTAAACCTGACTTTACTTGGTGGAAGGTCCTGAAGTTTCCATGGACATGTTGTTGCTATGGGCTTCCACAGTGAGGTATAAAACATTTATTTGTAAGAGCTAGTATCTATGTTCATACAGATAATACAATAATAAAGTCAACAATGCGTTCTGGACATATTGCGCTTTAATTATGAGCTATATTAATTGGCCGATGGTGGTAAATGTTCCTTTTGTGTTTGCGGAGGTAAACCAAACAAAGCAGGCGCTGACGTTTTTGTGACTCATGTAATTAAATCAATGGAGACATTAATCTACCGGCCTGTTAGAAGAAATGAGCTGGAACATGGGATTCTCCTTTTGCAATTACTTCTGGAAATAAGACATTGTTCCCTTTGGGCTTTGTGGTCCAAATTTGCTCAGGGCGAGTCACTCTGCACATTTCTCCAAAATCACATTAAACTCAATGGCAATTTTAAATCCTTGTTAATTTATTCTATCACCTTCAGTCTATTCCCAGATTCCTGGAGCCTGCAGTCCATTCTGGTGATGGCTCCTTTGGGGACAGTCTGACCAGTTAGTCTCAAGCATGACACTTACTGCAAGTCATTCACAAATGCATTTACGCAAGAGTAAATTGACATCACAGGAGAGAAGAAAAGACCAAAAAATACTGGATAAAACACAGGCATCTACTGAGCTCTGTTGCTTAGTGTTTCGTCATAAAAGTATCAACAGGAATCCCTTATGCGGTGCCTCCTCTGGTCGCAGCTGTCAGGTTTGGAAACAACCATAAAACGATTCATGTGTGAACCTTTTGTTTGGTCCAGAGGTGGCAAAAGTAAAAAAGAAAATCCATTCATTCATTTTCATCGTCTTAATCCATTTCTGGGTCCGGGGAGTGGCATCATTTTGAAATCTTTCTCTTTCTAAATTACAAGCAAAGTACAAACTTGTATGCATAAGTAAAAAGCATTTCAGTTGAATCATTGGACAAAAATGTTTGAGGAATTGCATTTGAAACAACACTAATGTAGACAATAAACTTGTGGACTTAATGAAATTAATTTGTGGAAGCATGGCTGCCCCTTTCAAACCTGTCGTCTTCTGAAAGAGAACTAGTCATTTAAAAATGTATGAGTAGAACAGGGAGTAAGAGTAAAAAGTCTTCATAAAAGTAACTTCTAAAGTACTGACACCAGAAAAAGTACATGAATCTAGTAAAAATACCACATCTGCATATATGATGGGCATTGGGAAATTTGTTACATATAAACCAGCCCAATGGAAAACTTTAATGTTCAAAATGAAACTTAATTGAGCCTAAAGCCAATAATGTGGATGTCACTTAGTGGAAAAAGTGTGGCGCCACCTCCACATGAAAGCCTGGTTCTGTCACATGAACAGGGCAGGGCCTGGTTAGTACTGTGATGGGAGACCTCTGGAAACACCAGGTAAAATACAAAACTGTTTGTGTGTGTATAGAGTGAATGAGTACAAAAGTTCTATATAAAGCCAGCGTGTGAGATGCGTGTCTTTATCTTCTTCCTGACATCACAGCAGTTTTGAGTCACTTTATACCATTAAAAACAGGAAAGAAATCTGAGCATTTTACTCTAAGTGCAGTTGGTGAATGTAACAACAAAATCGTTTCGCCACAATAGCTTCAGAACCAGGGGCCAATCTCCAAGACAAGAATGATTAAGCAACACAAATACAAGTGCAGCAGAGGACAGACATTTCTCTGGGTAGAATGTACAACACAAGTGACAGGGGTGCAGTTGTTTTTCACCCCAAATGCTCCTTTTTAAGCTGAATGAAAAGTTGCCCTTGTGCAAACGCCTCTCTGCGCTCTATCTCTGGGGAAGTCCTGCGCAGGAAGCACTGAGGCCACGGAAACAGATTAAACAGCCCAGACCTTGAACGATCCTTGTAAACAATTGCTGGATTTGCAGAGGTGGAAAAATAAGTGTCTGCACAACCGTCTCCAAAAACTGGATAAGGATTTTATTGATAATTGAATTACATTTCTCTTTTATACATATTTCATAAATGATACAGGATTTTACATTTTTCTTTTTTGCCAACATTACAGCATCATATGTCAACAGAAACAAAGTCAAAAATGCAATCAAGAGGTCAGAATGGAGAATGAGCTTGCGTCAATCCTATAAGTTCAGCGTCACTCTTAGGCATTTCTCAAACGTAAGTGCGCATAAAACAAGAAATTCAACAAAATTCAAACACATAGAATGAACTGAAACGATACGGATGAACCAGAGCCTCTTCCTCTGCGCTCACACAGGACTCTCATGACTGAGCTCCTCAACTATAGAGGACAATGGAAGTAAACAAGGATGGTTTTGGTTGGCTGGGTCCGATTTTGGCAGAATCTAAAAAGACAAACCCTGTCTGCTTCCCTTTTTATAATAGAACTAGGAATCTCTACAAACAACGCTCTTAAATTATCTTTGCAGTTTTTGATCTTTTTTTTTGTTTCATTTTTTTCATATTTTTCCCATGTAAACATACATTCATGCAACACCCTCTTTATAATAAAGTTCCCTATATTTGATATATTTAGTTCCTTTAAAAAAATAAAGCAAGGAAATAATAATTAAAAGGCATTAACCGGTGGATGGTGTGATAAAAAAAAAAGGGAGGTGGTGATAAAGTGTGAGGGGAGGATTGGGCTGGTCTCACCTCCTACATGAAGTCTCCACGGAAACGCAGGCGATTTACATGAATGATAGTGTGCGATTTTTCTGGAAAATAAAGCTCAAAACTGATATGAAATGATAAGAGGACGGAGCTTAAAACCAAAGCATTGAAATGGTTTTTGCTTCTGCTCATAAGCAACAAACGTACACCGGTCAGGCATAACATTGTGACCACCAGCCTAATATGAAAAACACACACACTGGTTTCCTTTGTGCTCCGTAAGAGTGATTTTTCTATAGATACTTGCCACAGTGTCCCTCTTACAAGTTTTTAGCATTCACAAATTGGCTTTTTTACACCAAAGGCCATTTCTATCTGCTTAAAAGGGCCTCTCCATTAAAACCTAACTCTTACTGCTTTCTGTAACGCAAGTCAGTCTTCATACAGAATAATCCGTTTTCTTTATTAGTTCCAGAAATAATCTAATCATTTACTACTCAAATATTCATTGTGGCAAGTCATCTTTCAGCTTTTCAATCTGTCAACCAATACAGATACTACCACATAGGACGATGGAGGCGGAATGGAGGCAGGAGTCTTCTCTTTGGATAATATATTCAAAAATTTACTTCCAAAAATGACTATCGGGTACAAAGTAAAAGATGGTAATGATTAAGCCCTTTAACACAGACTACTTTCCTAATGCAGTCCTATAGTTAAGTGACTTGCACGTGCCGCTGGAGTAATGTTATGCCCGATCGGTCTTTTAATAACTCATACCTTTTGACAGCTAACAAGTGATACCTGTAGTTTGCTACATTGTCCACACACTATTGTAATTATGCATCTAAAAGGCACAGTTGCACACAAACACGCAAATTGTAGACTAAATCCAAGCCAAGACCTGAATAGTGAACTTTCAATTGAACCTATAGTCATGCATTTACAATTTGCAGTCACACGCAACGGATCTTGACTTGTAGGATTTAGCCTTCTGTCCACGCCACGCAAACGGGTGATAGCGTATAATTCTGGAGCTGTGTCATGGATTGCCTTACTTTGGAGATGGAGCCAGAGAAAGGTCCACCAATCCTCACCTGGACTTAAACAAATCAGACAACTCAAACTTTGGATATGCTTACTGGATGAGACGTCAGCATGATGTGGCAAACGATAAGTGTCTAGTAACCTTGAAGTACAAAATTTGCAATAATGCTCCTACACATTCACATTTTTTTTCTACTGAGGGCATACCACTGCATGCAGTCTACCCTGCCTGGCCATCTCGGGGAGCAGGGGTGTACCAGTGGGGGGAGAAGTCTCTGGACGTCCTGTGAGATTGGAGCCGTGGCACTTTTGTCTATGTGGTTCACAGCAGGTTAGACAGATGCAATAAATAGTGATAAATTATGTTAATTTAATCATCTGGTGATAAAAAGTCGAGTTAAAGGCAGATTTAGATCAAAGCTAAAAGTCATTTCGAACAGGAGCCACAGTGATAATTAATCTTCTGTAACCATAACAAGCCTCTAGGTGTGTCTGAGTAAACAGCGGTTTTCATTTCTCTGAGCTGAATTAGATCCTTGCACTTGCTAAATTAAAATTCATCAGTGGATGTGTATAATTATTCAAATCCACAGACATTCAAAGTAATGTCTCCTTAGTGTCACCTAAATGCGCTTGCTCCTGTGCGGGAGTTGGAGCTATAATGTTTTTAAGACTTTATTTTATGTAGTGGAGTTTGATGTGACATTTATTTTTGGCGATTCATTACCAACATGTGTGCATCTATAAAGCTCATGAGGTGATGCTTATGTATGAAGAGGTTGCATTTTCCACAACGGGACGGGAATAAACACATGAAATGACGCTTGTTTGAGCTCCTCCCCCCACCAACATAAAACTAGCCTCTGGTCATCTGTTATTTGATTGTATACATATATATTTATATTTATATATTTATATTCTTTTCATAACAAATATACTATGGCTTTCAAATAAAAAGTGCCAAAATATTTTTTGGAATAAAAGAACACACAGTGATGTTGTTGTCGGTAGTACTCTCGCTTTAGGCAGAACCGCTACAGGATCAACAGGAGGAAAGAGGCCACATCCTGGAGGTGAGAGGCAGCAGAGTTCAGCCACAGAACCCCTCAGCCCAGCTCTCCTCTGTAAACGTGGACTGGGACTGAGGCGGTAGTAGCTGCGTGTTGACAGTTCGACTACTACAAGCAGAAAAGTCCTTCACGATGCACACTCCGCGTCACCGCCTCTGAATGTCCTTTTGAGTTGCTTCCTGTTTTCCCTTTGCCGCTGTCCCAAAGAGTTCAGGCTGCTCCTTAGAGCCGGTTTAAATCCATCTTCGCCGATCATTGCAGTTGTACTTTTTGTCATCCTCGTTTGGCTGTGAGAGGTTTTCCTCATTGTTCTGCAGGTTTGATAAACTGTTTTCAGTCAAAAGGGAAAATGTATCGAAGAAAAACTCCCACAGTCAAAAAGGATGGGGTTTTTGGGTGTGGAAAGCGGAGGGGAAAGTAAGACAGTTTAAGGTCGGGATGAAGGAGAGAGGAGGTAAAGAAAAGGGGCGTTTGGGCTAAAGGGGCGGAGCCACGGTCGCCATCAATTGTTAGTGCCAGTGAGCTGCGGGACGGGGAGCTGGAGCTGCAGAGGGTCCCGCAGACGCTTTAGATCTAACTCCACCTGCAGAAAGGACAGATTTACAACCACAGAGATGACTAATGGGACTGAGCTAAGCTGTCACATAGAGAAGCTCCTACAATCTCTTCTACAAGTGCCACTTCTGAACAGAAAAGAAACTAAATTTGGACAAAGTCGCAAAAAGGTGAAAATGATCATACATCCAATACGTAGTCATGGAGAGTTGTTTGGGTGTTATACATTTTATTTTTTATGGTTTAGAAAATGTACTCAAACGATCACCCTTGAACGTGTTTAAAGAAGTCTTCTGACTGAAAATTAAGATCAATATAAGTGACTACTTCAGCTAATTACACCAATAAAGCTATCATTACAATTTAGTATCCAGTATCAAATGAACTCCGGCAACCTCAAAGTATTCTCCAAATCTAGCAAAAGATTGTGAAGTAAGTCATCTTAGAATCTCAGACCACAATAACTTATGAGAATAACTTTTCATTTTGCTAATGTATGTGGAAGTGCCCTGTGAGTCAATCAAGGATACTTAGGCTGTCAGCTGAAAGGCTGAGCCAGGGTGGTTCACCTTTCCATCTGAAAAAGCTGATCTAAAAGCAACAAAAACTCATTCTAGAATATCTCTGGCTCACAACTTTAAAAACTTCAATATTTTGAAAAGGAACTGTGAGCCATAATCAAAATTATATCATGGAATTTTTCACCGTGCATGTAATAAGTCATGCATTGATTTCTCATTTTAAGTTGAATAACTGAAATAAATTAACTTTTGAAGAGTTTAAATGGATACTTTCACCTAGCACAACATTTGAACATCAGGAAGCCCACCCTTTAATATCTCAACAAAAAACAAAATGCACCTCTGCGATATCATCCTTCAGCTTGTTGTATTTCTCTATGTCGAAGCGAGTCCTCTTCACCCCCTTGTGGAAGAACAGCAGATACTGACGGTCCCTGGCGTCGGGGTAAATGTACTCCTGTGCAGACACAACGCATCCAGGTTATCAGACAGAGGCCGCATTCCCCCAAAACACACGCTCTGTTAAACGCAAGCCCGCTGGGTGAGTTACCTGGCGCGTGAGCACGTAGTAAGCGTACATAGCCATCGCGGTGCCGTATGTGATGAAGTACGTGACGGGCTCCATGATGTCCCAGGAGTATTCCCACCAGGTGAGCCGCGCCAGTATCCCAAACTGAGTGGCCATGTACGCCATGCCGCCCCATAGCACCCAGGTCGTACGCCGCTCCGCCTTCTTACTCAACTCCTCTCTCACCTGCCGACAGACGCAATATACAGTAGTTAATCAGACGACAAACTTGGAGAGAGAGGCTGCAGAAGGGGACATAATGCGAATTCAACTTTTTTTTCAGCATGTTAGAAGAAGTTGTAGTAATTATGGATTTCAAACTTGCATTTCATAGAACTCAAAACCATAGACAAGATACAAACTGAACTGAAAAATATAGCATTAATAGCTCATTTGGCTCCAATTCCTCTCTCTCTCACTCATTCAGCAACACACAAACACATCCACCCATCCACACACACCCCAAACCAACCCCACCTCCACACACACTGTTTTTGCAGACTTTTCTTTTCTGAATCTGCGGAACGTGGATGTGCATGCGTTTTTGCCCGAGAAGAAAATTAAATAAAAAAACCACCCAATGAATCTAAATCATTGGAGAAGTGCACAGTTAAGGTGACCTATAATCTGGACACTGTGTGAGATTACACAGATTCACTTCTTCACTCAAATATTTACTTGTTCTCATGTCCTTTTTTGGTCAATCTGATGAACCAATCACAGTTAGAGAGCTCTCAGAGGCAGGCAGCTTGTAAAAATAACCCTTAAAAGGCCACTGAAAGCATTGAGCCAGAGATATTGTGATGAAATTTGAATTGCCACACACAGCATAAATCATCTAACCACAATTTAGTCTATTTGAGCAGATAATCCCATTTTTATATCCCCCACCCCGGAGCATTCACAGGGAGAAATGGTTACATAACAATTCTTACACATCTGACTGAATGTGTAGAATCATTTCAGTTGAAGAATGAAGTGTTTCAGTCAAAAGCAAAGCATGAAAAATAACCAGAAAGAGCTGTTTAGAAGATTACAACCGCTCTCATTTCTTTCAAATAAAACGTGCCTTACTGAGAAGAACGGTGTCTGATTAATTTAGCCTTTGTTATCTATACTTTTAAAGACCTCCGGACTTAACTAGGGTGGCTTTTGTTTTTGTCGTCAGTGCAATAATTTCTGCTACAACATCAAAGGATTACGTCTTTCCCTTTTCTTCTGCGGCTGCTGCTCTAGCATTTCACAGCAGTAAAGATGCCTTCTAGTGTTCTATGATCCTCACAAGCCCAGCACAGCAGCTTCAAAACAATATTCCTTTTTGTACGGCGACTGTATAATGATATAAACTATGTCAATTTGCTACAAACCTTCTCGAGGGGGCGGAGTTGTGAGTTGAGGTCCTCGAGCCGTCCAATCAGCTCGCGTTCTTTGCCGAGTTGGTGTTCCTCTATACGCAGCGTGGTGTAGAGCTGCTGCACCAGGAACTTCACATCATTCAGCCGTTCAAGATCCTCGTGAGGCAGCAGATCTGTAACACGTAACGTATTTAGAGGATGGGAAGTTTCGATTTTTGCATGAGTTTGGTTTTGTGATGTGTACCTCTCCTCGGGGGCCGTACGACGTGTGTGGTGTCGTTGATGACCAGTTTGAAGTCGTCCAGCAGCAGAATGTCGATCCCTGTGGAGGAGGCCACCCGGGCTCCATCTGTAAACCAAAAAACACATGTGGACACGATGTGGTGTTAGATAAGACGAGATGCAGAGAATAGACCTCCTCCATGTTCCCGTTCCATCTCGCTCACTCCGCTCCTCATTCGCCCTGCACTTCACTGACTCTTCTTCCACCCCGGTCACCATGGGAGACGGAGCTTTCATCGGCTCAGCCTCAAAACCTCTAACACTCTATCCCACCCTGCCCTCATACAAATCCCCACTCTGACAAAACCCACCGTTTCAGAATTGCTTTCTCTGTTTAATTCAGTATTCTTTTAGTAGTTGTTTTTATTGTCTTTATTATGATATTACATTATAAGGCACTCATAAAAAAAGCTTATTATTATTATTAGAGGGATTGCTCTAAAATAATCAGATTCCTTGGGTTACAATAAATAACTTAACAAAAATGACTAGTGACTTGGCGGCGAATACATTTTTCATTATCTAATTTTGATAACTACTTATTAACAACACCAATCAAACTGTTTGAATAATATTATGTGTGAACATATTGTAGGGTAGTGCAGTAAACCAGACAATGCAGGAATACACCAATGCATTTTATTCTAGTGTGTGATATATTTTTGCACCAGTTGAAAATCTACCAATTTTACACTTGATCCCAGCGCTGTGCGGCACAGTGGAAGCACAGGTGCATCTCTGGAGAGAGGAGCTCTCCAAACGCTCTCAAACCTCTATGTGATCACATGTGTTGCCATCTGATTTCCATGAGAGGTCAACGCACAAGCCCCCAGGGTGATTCAAGCAGCTTCTGTTCCTGCAAAATCCCCCCCTGAGCCCAGAGGAGGCCACATTTTTAAAGATAGCTGTTGATTTTGAATGTAGATTCCCCGCAGCCGCCACGCTCAAAGAGAATAATGATTCACTTGAAAGCCCACGTTTATTTCAATGGTTGTGGAGAGGCTGTTTGTACGTAGACATCGGAAGGCAACAATTGCAGAGCTTCAGATTAAATCACAACGTTTTAAGGACCTACATATTTTCAACAAGATGGGGGCAGATACACATTGTTAATGTGCAGTTTTTTTAGGGAGTATAGAGATATTCAATTTGCGATGAAATCTGGCTCCTGGCTTCAACATCACGGCACTGAAGAAAATGAAAAATGCTGTTGCTCAATATTTACTGAGCAATAGCAGGAAACCCTTCAGCAAGACTACTTTTGTTTATTATAGAGGATAGAAAAGAATTGACTTGTTTTTTTATATTAGATGGGCTAAAATAGAGATAGAAGTTGCCTTCGACATATTTATTTAAGCAAGTGTTGTAACTGCAGAGTACAGGTCATATTTATTGTTCAAAAGTTACACCTCAACTGTGAAGCCAATAAAGGATGTGGATTTATTGAATGCAAAGTGACATAATTGTTATAATGTTGATGATTATGGCTTACAGTTAATTATCTAAATATTCTGAGATGTGTTTGTAACAATCTGCGAGGCAATTATTACCAATATAAAAAGTAAAGGCTTCGTATGTCTCACTTTGTGTGTAAAGAGTCATATATTAGTTTTATATCGTAAGTTGAATTACAGAGGTAAATGGACTTTTAGATGTTGCACCTGTATATAGAAAAATATGCTTCAGTAAATGTTTGTAAAAGCAACTTTAGCTGCCATAAAAAAGTATTTGAGGTCAGGTTTGTTAGGATGCAGTCCTTATGATGAAGTGGAGGTACAGTAGATTTCTGGGCAACTCTCCGCCGTTGTTATTTTAGTCAGTGGGTTACGGTAGTTTAAATATTTATTACAGAATGCATTTTTCCTGCTCTAAAAATCTGTATCATGCTTTAACATTTGCCATTGTGACCCAAAGGACGTACCCATGGAGTAGATGGCCACGCGGTCGATGCCTCGGTCCTCCGCCTGCAGCTGCTGCAGGAACACGCCCACACAGTCGCTCAGTGGCTTCAGGGTGAACTGGCAGCGCTCTCGTCGAGACGGCAAACTGACCGAGATCACCGGCAAACCATTCTGATACATCACCGTCACCTCTGCAGACACACATTTATTCATAAATAAAAATTATAATGTTACTCCTTTTCCAATGCACTCCCACCCAGGTCTTATACAGCCCAAAAAACACTATTCTGGCGATTGCATTTTATTTGCTTCATTTGAAAAGGTGATGAGGCCCTTTCCTACAACACCTGGCTTGCCTTTGAAAGGTCTTTTGAGGTCTTTTTTTGACAATGGTCAGCATCTAATAGAGCGATTTAGCAGCTGGCTATTGCCCATTACATAAAGTGTTCTGAGTCTCCTCATTTAGACTTAATGCTCAAATAAACCTGTCTCTGCTTTATCAATCCTCCACATTACAGTGACCTTAAAACACAGAGTATATCCCCAGTGCACACTATCTTACATTAGAACTGTCCTCTTTTCATCAACACCAAAGAGCTGTGTTCGTACCAGAACAAAGAAGCGGAGGGATGTCGTCATGTAGAAATCTACAGTCAAAGTTATTAAATTAACTAAAGAAATGCATACATAAGGATTATATATTCATATGTCTAAGAGCAGGTCCCTTCTACTCTATTTGTGAGAAATAAAATAAACATTAACGACACATTTACAATACATTGTAAAAGGGTAACTTAATCACTTTAAGTCAGCAGTTCTCAAGGTGGGGGCCGCGACCAAGAGAGTCCCCTGGGACAAAAAAATGACTGAAATTCCATGGCTGTTTTGGCACTTCAAAGGAATACTTTACATTTCATTTAGCAGTAGGGGTGCTGTTGATTTAATTTGTGGGAGTTTGAGAACCCCTGCGTTAACTTAAGTGTTTCTATAGCTAAAATAAGAAAGTCTACATAAGCAGTAGAGTTCAGTACTTCGTCACCACTGGAGGCAGTACTGTATATGAAGCAAAAGCACCTGTACAATAAGGTCAGGCTCAGATCTCAGCCTGAGCTCTGGACCATCTCAACATCTTGTGCCAAAGACCAAACCTGCTCTCCCCCAGCCTCCATCTGCTTCCCATCATGCCTCATTCCTTACGCATAGATTCTCTGCAGGCATGTTGGTTTAGTTTGCCAAGATATTCAATATGTAGATACAGAAAACCTACTCTGGGATCAATAGAGAACAACATGACACAGCTTTTGTCCATATTTAAAGGTATTTATTAACATCTTGTTGAGCCTCCGCTAAAAGGATAAAAACATGTCTAATGATGCATGTGTAATCAGGCTGACTCATCAAATACTGGGTGAGCATCAAAACGCATTAATGTGACAAGCTTTGGGCAAAACACAAAGACAAGTGTTTACTCCCAACGGTGCCATTATGTAAGAGACAGCGTTGTTGCTGGACTTTTTAGCCCAAATATGAAGGAAACAGACCGTTTGTTAGTGAATATTTCAATATATGGCTGATAACGCTGCAACATCTATTCATAACAAACAACTGTAGGAATCTGCACATTTATTGACAAATGACTGGTTTTCAAATCTGCTTTTTTGCATCTTTTTATCTTAATAGATTTGAATTACATGAACGTTAACTGAAACCTATCAACTTATTGTATGTCAGTAACAATGTCATTAAAAAAATAAAGAATAATGTAATATTAATGTTAAACGTTTTAGTAATGATGTTTCAGCCGCCCCATTGCAACAACTACTGCTTCCACAGGTCTACCATCACAGCACTTACCAGGGCCTGTCATGCTTAGCATCTGAGATCAAGTTTTTACATGTAGGTGGCACCACCAGAATAACATTTAAGAAATTAACATTTAGGAGATTAATATTACTCTCCAAAATAGGGCAGCAAAGTTTTATCGCAATGATTTATTTGTGAATGATTTGGGAATTGCAAGAGAAGATTAAGTATTTTAAAGTGTTACAAAAGTGAAAGCAGTGTTTAAAGAAAGCCTAACTGTTGGTGCTGCTGCTTGGCTATCGCACCAGTCACCTCTGGCTTGTGTTCGAACCACTGCAGTGAATCAGCAGATCTGAGCCGGGCTCCTATCACCGCTGAAGGATCATCTTTGGCACGCACAGCCCCAGCGACAGCCAGCCTCACTTTCAACACGACAATGTACGAAGACACAGCCGCCGTCCTTTCAATTGACATCTCCTGCTGCAGTGTCAATCTCTCAACTCTCATGGCCAGTGTACGGATTGTTCCCCGGCTGCACCTGCTCCCGATGACTTTTCATTTCCTGCTAAATATATGAGGATCCTACGACTATCTCTGATCCAATCCTACACCTATTAGTGCTCAATTTAAAATCAAATCAGCATGGCCGCCACCTCCTCAGCTTTTATATTACTCCTGTACTCACTCCCTCTCCTTCTCATCTCTGTAGACGAACAGATGCTGCCCCTGAAACACATTCCATATTAATGACTGCTGACTGTTACCGCCAAATGAGCCTTCCCTGATCAATGCAGAATTACTCTCTTGAGCAAAACTCATTTGTTTGGGATGGGGCAGATGTGGGATGAAGGGGTTTTCTCTTCAAAAGGGAAACCCATGATTTTTAAAACGAGTTACGTAAGGGGTAGCCATTTCTCAGGAGAGCAGTTGTTTTTTAAGTCTGATGTGTAAACAGGAAGAGAGGGAGAGGACGCTTACCTTCAGCAGCTGAGGTACACAACAGTCTCTGGCCGTGCCATGAGGGGGCGCCCTTCCAAACCTGCAACAGAGAAGGCAAACGCTGTAGATATATATAGCAACAAGTTTTATTATGTGCTGAAATATATCATAGAAGTAAACTTTCTTTGAATTATCTCTTTGTTTAAACAGAAACAGTGAACAAAGAACATTAAACAGTTCCGTCATTCAGTCTTTAAATGGGCTTTAGGCATGTTTTCTGGTGACGACTCTGAAAACTGGGATTCTTTGAAAATATTGTTCTGCACATGATTCTACTAAAATGTTCCAAAACAGACCTCCAGAGAGAATATAAAAATACAAATATTGTACTATTAATTGTAGACTCCAACAAATATTTAGATTTACATAAAAGTAGTAACCCTTGCTGCAATGCAAAGTAGGGAAATAGACCGACGGCAGCCCAACTGGTTTATTCAAATTCCTTTACTTTACAGAAACCAACATGCAAGCAATTTTGATCTTCTTCGACGCATTCATATAATTCATTTTTTTGGTTAAGATTGACAACCCTCATTCTGCATCGTAAAAAGTACAAATAATATGAATACATTATTATCATACACAGTGATAAGTATCAGCCTCTGCCATCAGGGGGTGTCTTTTCAGATGTACAGTAACATCAAGTAGGATATTAAAATAAACATAATTAATCCATGCTCTGCTCCTTTCCCTTATAAATGTTAAGACAGTTTCCACCATCTCATAATCTCAACACACCGTTGTTCTAATCCATCTTCTTATGTTTGTGAAACTTTACAATCTGTGGCAAGTTACAAAATGGCTTCTGGTGTTTTGAATGTTTTCAGACATTGCCACACCCAGCGTACAGATTAGGACATCTTTTTTCAGCTTCCCGCCCATGGAAATAATGAAGCGACTCTTGCTCCATTCCTTTTCTTACAATGTACTTAGAAGGAAAACACAGCAGTGAGGAAAGAGCAACGGCAGCAGAAGCAACATTGTGGTTTAGTATGAAAATCCTCGCTCGTGTTCCGAGGAGGAGGGAGGGAGAGAGCCGGGGAAACCCTTTTCTATTCCGCAGGAGAAGGCGGATCCATCTGCGTTTCACATGCTTTAAATTACAGAGCACGTCACGATTTTTTCTGCTGAGTCTCCTTAAAAGACTAACACTAGCTGTCAGGAAGCCACACGAAGGAAACACAAATCAATGAAGCAGCAAGGGTGAAAGAAATAGCAATTTGATTAATGTTTGGTTATGGGGCTGAAGAATACGGTGAATACTGGGGATGTGTAATTTTTCTCTTTTGCATTGAACCAACTAAACAAACAGATCTATATTATGTGGAGGCACGTATATCAAAGTGAGACCAACGGCTCCTTGAACAGGCTGCCAGTTGAGTCATCTGTAGCCACTTAATTCGCTACTAAAGATAATAAAAAGAGAAGACTTTGTTTTCTGTGTTCTTTGTTTGGGTTCATTACCATCAGGCTGGGAGAAAAACCTCATAATGTATGCATGAGGCAGACGTGGCCACAATGACTGATCTACTGACCGAAACTCGTAACAGAGCCCAATACTAACCACTTATAAGTCAATCTACGTATGCTACTAATGTGCAGTCCATGGACAAAATGAAAAATGTTGAAAGGCAACTTGTCATAAAACACAATAACTCAAAAATATTCTGCTTTCATTTTTGTACCGTTCAAGGAAGGCAAACAGGAAAGATAATTTACAATCAGATTAACCTATTGTGCTATGAAATAAACAAATATGTGTCTGTGTGGTAATACATTTGATATCTCATCCAAAGCAAATCTTACACTCAAGCATTTAACCTAATATGACTGCAGCACAGCGAGCACAGCAGGCTGGGCCATCGCTCTGCTCCTCAAGTGCGATTGTAATATTAGATTTACTACACTCACAAACACGCTGACCCATGCTAAATCAAACCATAGCCACACTCAGGCAATGCACAATATTGGCTCTTTCAAACTGTGAAGACACTTTTCAAAATGGCAGGTAAAGGTCTAACTGGGTTTATTATGAGATTCATTTCTGTAATAGAAACTAGACGCCAGCACAATCTGAAACATTGACCTAAATTGTGGTTCAAATGGCCACAACAACAGACAGGTGAGAAATAAACACACAGTCTCTCCAACAACACGAGCTGAGGACGTGCTACGTTTTATACAATAGAAAAATAAGGATTTGTCATGCGAGATGCCACACTCCCAAAAACAAGCACCATAGGTAAAATCCTCCAGCTCTGGCAGTCCTGGCCAAAACTAGCATCAACATCTGGAGTCGGGTCGCTGAGCTCTGGCCTGTGGTGACTGCTGTTCCTGATTGGTTATTTTTAATAAAGAATCGGTCACATGCAAAATATAAATTAGGAAAGTCAAACGAGCTATTTTATAGTTTGAATATGTTAAACTTCTATTGTTTATCACCAAACAAAAACCTAACTGGCTTCCAACAAAGCATCTACCAAACACAGCACTTGCAAAAAGGTCCTGGTTCAGAATCCCGGGTGGAACAAGGCCTTTCTCTTTGAGTCGAAGCAGGTTTCCTCCAGGTTCTCCGGTTTGCCCTTTCACTAAAAAGATGTACAATAGTCAAAATCCTCCAGGTGCAGTAATCCTGACCAACCATCAACAACTGGAGATGGGTCCCAGAGTGACGACTGCTCCTAACCGCAGCCCTAGTAGTATTGTAGGATGTAGGATAGTAAAGTGTAGGTAGGTGCAACCACTGGGCTGTCTGTCCATGTTGTTTTAACAGGCTTTCGTGTTATAGTGAAATGGGCTTGGAAAAGACAGCATTTCCTGCAAAAATCTATTGTTACCTTTTCAACTTCCATCAACTGCATTGGGAATTAAGGCACATTTCATGAGCGACACAAGCCACTAACTGACAAACAAATGCCAATCAACTGCTCCTAATTAAAATACACAGCTGTCAATCACAAAGTCTCTCTGTCAATCAGAACTACTTCAGAACCACGACATGTAAACACTTATTTTACCTTTACACTGCCAATAATCCTGAACGTACATGAGGTGGTGAATGAACAGTAGGGAAAGACCAATTCAGATCGTTTTGAATACAAACATTTTTTTGAGATTCTGCTCTGTTTAGTACAGATTTACTCCCAAAGACAATTCAAAGTTCTAGGCTTCAAAATGATGTGGCATGAGTATATTAGCATAGAAAGATAGTGTGGCTGTTTTGTTTTCGAGTCGTGAGTTGATGTGTGTGTTTGTTTGTTTAGTTATAAAATTAGTTGAAAATTAGCTGTTTACTGATGTCTCGACAGGCTTCAAAATTATCCAATTTAATCAGTAATTCCCTAATTAACAGTATATTTAAAATGTGATTAACTGAGTGGTGCTAACTGCTGTGCCATCAGCCAGGATCCACTCTGCTGACTGTGTATTTTCCCTTTTAGGGCTGTTCTCAAGCAAAAAAGCACCAGCTGTAGCAGGAGTGTGCACCCATAATGCAACACTGATTATCTACACTATACAGAAACTCAGTGAGCAGACAGATGGAGACCTTGCAGGTGTTCGTATTCTGCTATGGCTCCAATAGAAAATGTTATTCATGCAATTCCTGTTTTGACAAAAGTTTTGTGTTCTTCAAATAGCAGTCCCAAATCACTGGTCATTGGTGATTTAGTTAAAGTTTGTCTTTGACATTTTATTATGGCATATGTGAATGATTATCATTCCACCCTAGAGCAATGTATATATTGAATTAGCGCTCCATGTCCAGTTACAAAACCTTCTACATTCATCTTTGCACTAGCAAGTAATTGGCTTGACCTCGAATAGCTAGATAAGCAAGAAAGCTCATGAAACGCATCTAATTATGAAGACAATTAAGTTCAATCTAGTACTGAAATCGGGGAGAAAAACAAGGTTCATTTATTGTGTATTTAATGGCATTACAAGCTGTGAATGTTGGTGTAGCATGGAGGATAATGTCAGACTGAGAAAGGAGTTTCCTATGGACTGTACAGGGAAATACTGCAAGGTCTGCAGTACAAAGCCCTCATTCATTAACGTGACAAGAGTGGGGAGGGCAAACTAACTCATAATGGTGCAACAACCCTTGCATCCCAACACTCCTCTACGTAAATGCCTGCCTCCCTCTGCGCGGGTGACGTAGCCTGCTCCTGTGATTCCACTTTTGCAGGTGGCTTTAGAACTCGCGTGAAAGGCTCCCATATGTGCGTGCGTTTGAGCGTCAATTCACCAGCCAGTTTGTCAGCGGTAGTTGTTCCCCCCCCTCTCCTCATCCCACCGCCCCGTGCCACTCTCCCCAAGGCGCACCGCCACTGAAACGCTGCTTGAAATATTTAGCAGAGTATAGCAGCAACCAGTCAATAGCACAGCAACCTTGGAATCAATGTCATATGGCGAAGAGGTAGCGAGGCTAGACTTGGCTAGATCGACGCACGAGCAGAGAAGAGCGCGGTATGATTAATAGCAGGGGTTGCATGGGAGCATTGGACACATCTTGAAATCTGTCGTAAAAATAGCTCTTGCCCCCATGTGCTGTACTATACCCACCCACAAAAACGTGACTGTGGTGTGTGTGCTGGTAAAAAATAAATAAATAAATACAGGGGTAGCAGAGGAGGAGGAGTGTGCTCGCTGCTGATCACTGCAGTAAAGGAATCCCTCGTCTCAAAAGCGGGGTTGCCCAATGCCGTTTGCTCCCCTTCCTCCTCCCTCTACCCTCCCAGCCTCTCCTCTCTTCGCACGCGCTTTGAATCCTGATACAATGATACAATCTGATTTTTAGCTCAAACCTCAACTGCACTGCGTTTAACTCTCACCGCATTTCATCCCAGCCCTCGGTGTGCTTGCGTGCACTTGATTTCAATTAAAAGAGCTCATTTTGATTTTAAGTTAATGCTGGACATTCTGGGAAAATTAGGCCCACTGTTTGACAAGCAGTGTTGTGCCTGTCAAAACCTTCCACTCTTTGCCCATGCGACAGTGAGGGCCTTAGGAATCATGTCAATCTATGAAATGTGTGCT